AATGATAAAGGCTGTCAGGTTTAGTAACAGTTACTACAGAGATGTAATTCACACATTGGGAAGTTTATGGAGGTTGTCTTTTTTCTCTTTATTTTACAGTAATAGGCCTCATGCATGCTTGGCAGGTGCAGCATCACTGAGCTAAACTCCCAGCCCGTTTATCTTTTAAAGTGCACAGTTCCATAGTTCTTAGTGCATTCAAAGAGTTGTGCAACCATCACCACTCTCATTCCAGGACACCTTTGTCAACCCTAAAAGAAACCTCTCATTTCCCGCTCCATCCTTCCTTGGCTCTTGCTGTCATTAATCTACTCCCTGCCTGGTGGGTTTGCCTCCTTTGGACATTTCATGGAAATGGCACCATGTGCTCTGCACCCAGCTTTGTTCTTTTGCACAGTGTTCCCAACATGCTGCTGTAGCATGTGTCAGTACTAAATTCCGCTTTTCTTTTCTTCTTTTTTTTTTTTGAAACAGGATCTTGCTATATAGATCAAGATGGCCTTGAACTCACTATGTATGGGTCAGCAGCATAAGAACCGTGTAGCCCGAGTTAGCCTCAAACTCACGGTGATCCTTCTGCCTCAGTCTCCCAAGTGCTGGGATTATAGGTGTGCACCATCATACCCAGCTCTGGTTGAACAATTTTCAGTTGTGTGGCTAGACCTCATTTTGTTTATCTGGTTCCTCAGCGGGCGGGGGGGGGGTGTGTCTATTTGGGTTGTAGGGTTAGTTTTGTGCATTTCTGGAGACTTTACATGTGGGCACCTCTCCTGACCGCTCGGTCCTTTTGGCTGCTGTGCATTGCTCTCTGATTCCTGTGAGACGCTCCTCAGTGCCTTTGGAGTCCCCTGGCTTAGCCCTTATCACTTCACTTCAGAGAACTGGATAACATACAGGGGTTTTAGTTGTTTAACCTGCAGCTCAGTATTATAGGTGAGAAAATGGGATTTCAGAGAGAGAAAGGATCTGTGGAGATCCAGTGTGCAGGTCTCAGGGTTTTCTTTTTTTCCTAACTAATTAAGTTTATTGGTACATTTTAGGTATACATAATGATCACATTATAGAGACGTTGTGCCTATACCCAATATAACTTGTTTTTTCCCCCATTTCCCTCCCCTCCCTTCAACCCTTTTCCCCTCCTTATATTATAAAAGCTGTTTCCGTTTTTCCTTCTTTTCTCATCTTTTTCTTTCCCCTTCCTTCCCCCTCCCTAATTCTCCTCCCCAATTGAACATTTTCTTCCTATTTCACAATATCCACTGTACATTTTAGTTCTCATTTACACTTTCATTTTCTCATACCAGAGAAAGTGTGGTATTTACATATGTGTCTGATTTATTTCATTTAAGAGTATGGCCTCAAGGTGCATCCATTTAGCTGGAAATGTCTCTAGCTTATCCTTCTTTATGGCGTTGTATAAAAAAAATCACATCTTCTTTATCTGTCAGTTGATGGGCATTTGGGCTGTTTCTAAGATCTTGCTATTACGAATTGTGCTGCTCTAAACATGGATCGTATATCACTGTGGTATGATGCTTTTCATTCTTTCAGGAAGACACCAAGAAAGTGAACAACTGGGTCAAATGGGACTTCCAGTCCTAGTTTTTTGAGGAATCTCCACACTGATTTCCACAGCGATTGCACCAGTCTACACTCCCACTAACAGTGGAGAAGGGTTCCTTTTTCCACACAGCCCCACCAGCATTTGTTACTAGTTGATTTCTTTCTTTCTTTCTTTCTTTCTTTCTTTCTTTCTTTCTTTCTTTCTTTCTTTTTTTTGTCTTTTTCTTTTTTTATCGGTACCGGGGATCGAACTCGCGACTGCCTGCTTGCAAGGCAGGCGCTTATGCCGCTGAGCTAAATCCCCAGTCGCACTAGTTGATTTCTTAATAATAGCTGTTCTTTCTGGGGTGTGGTGGAATGGCATTGTTTTAATTTGCACTTCTTGAATGTGGGTCTCAGGTTGACAAGGGAGGCCCATCTCTGAAAGGCTGATGTTGGACCTAGAGCCCTGCCACTGCCCCCACAGCCCTCCATCTTGGTATCCCCAGCTCCCACCCCATTCCCCTTTCCTTCCCTGTTTTGAAACATCCCAGGCCAGCCCTCTCAAAGGCTGGCTGTCTGCTCCTGGCACCTGGCAGCATCTGAAGTATAGACTTTGCCTTCCTGCCTCATTTGCATCCCAAAAGGTCTCCAGGATCTGGTTGAACTGGAAGACAGACTAGGAGTTTATCTGGAGCGCCTCTCCTTGGTATGATTTGCATTTTCATAGCCAACTGGGAAATTATTTTAAATCCAGATGCCTGAGACCTACCCCAGACCAATTAGATCAGAATCTTCCGGGCATACCCCCCAATAATCTGATATGAACCCAGGGTAAGAGCCACGGTGTTAGCATAACACTGGCCCTTGTCAAAGCGATTTCAGCTGGGTTTGATATAGCACGCTTGCAATCCCAGCTGCTTGGGAGGTTGAGGCAGGATGGTTGCAATTTTGAGGTCAGTTTGGGCAATTTAGACCTTGCTCCAATATATAGAAAACAAACAAAAACAGTTAAAAGGAGTGGGAATGTAGCTCAGCACTCCCTGGATTTAATCTGCGGTCCTAGGGGATGTGGGGGGCACATTTTTTTCCAACTGACTGTTTGGAACTTGATAAAGATCTGGTCTTAAATTGACTATGGATTTGCTATGGGACTTTGGATGAATCCTGCTTCTTCTTTCTTTCAAATGGGGCTTGGATTAGATCAGTGTCTCTAACCTTGGGTCAAATCGATAGCTCACCTCCCACGGTGGGGAGAGAGAGGTGAAGTTTGGGGTGAGTGTGTATCTAATCGTGGAAGCATTTTCAGAAATCTAGAAATCCGTTCTGCAAGCCCAACTTGGAAAACTGAAAGCAACCAAAGTGTGGTTTCATTCACAAGCAGTATGAGTCAGTGCTCCCTTGGGAGGAAGTGTTCAGTGGAATCACAAATCTAGTTGAGTGACTTTTTTTAAACAGAAAAACTTCACTAATAATTATTGTAGCATTTCCTCAAATTCCCTCCCATACACTTGTGCCATTTTGTATTCTCGCCAGCAATAAATAAGCATTCTTATTTTCTCAGAGCTTCACCAGTTAATGTACTGTCAGGTGATTTGGATTTTTGCCTACCTGGTATGTTAGAAAACATACTTTGGTGTAGTTTTCACGTATTTCTCTATCATGAGTGAGGCTGGACATCTTATAGTTAAAATTCATTTGCATTTTTCTGAGAACTCTTTTTCATGTTTCTAGCCCATTTTCCTGTAGGTTTGTTGGTCTGTTGAGTCTGTATCAACCTTTTATCAGTGTTATAAATTGCAAAATACCTCCCCCAGTTCGTTATTTATACTTTTAGGGTGGTTTTTTTTTTTCCATGTAGAATTTGCTTCAGTAAATGTATCAGTTTCACTCTGTAAGTCTTCAGGATTTTTAAATCTTATTTGTCATCAGTCTGTGTGATGATTTCTGAGTCTGCTATGTAATTTTTATATGTAGGTCCATTTTATTTATTAATATTTGTTTTGAATTCAGGTGCGTATAAGGTATCAGCTGCATGAGGACAGGAGTCCCTCTGAGGTCTAGGAAAAGAGTCATCTTCTCTAAGTGACTCTGTCCTCATCAAGGGCTCAGGCAAAAGATGAAGCTGAGTCACACCAATGGCTTTAACTGGTTCCACAGGGAGCTCTGGAGTGAGGGTGGTATTTGGCGCTGAGGCAGGAGCATGGACCACGCTTTGCACATGGATTCCAACCAAGGGGGGTACATGACTTGGATAGAAAGGCTCCCATCAGCCTATGGGCATCGCTGGGAGGGCGCCTTGGCTTTGAGGTTTTATCTGGGGAAATGAGTATCTTGGCTGAAGGGGTCAGGGCAGGACACTGCAACATCTTCCCTGGAACCGTCCCCGTCTTGTTCACTGCTGTGTCCTCTACATCAGACTGTGCTTGGCATGCATTAAGTGTTCCTAACTGCCTGGCCCATGATGAGTGCTCAGGAAGTCTCTGACAAATGAAAGATAAGCAAGAACAGAAACTGGGGTTTCGAAGTCTTGGTCCAGGCCAACTGAATTATCGGTAGGGGCGGCGGGGAGGTGGGGAGTCCTGAGCAGGCCCGTTCAGAGTCATCCCCTCACGTTCTTCTAGACTGTTCCTCTTTGCAGCCCACTGGGTGGTCTCAAGGGCCCCTCTGGCTCATCAGTGGGTGTAGATCAAGACCTAGACATTATAGGATTGATAACCATATTTCTAAGTTTTTGTTGGATAGTTGAACAGAACTGGTTGCAGTCTCACTGTTTGAATCCCCACTTTATGTGCTCCACTTTAGTATCTTGAGTAACTGTTGGGAAGAAGACAGTCTGTAATCATCAACTAGTGATTTCTTACTGTTTATTTTTTTCTTTGAAATTATGTATTATTTCTACCCATTTTCTGTTTTGTTTAGTCTTTCTCAAATTAAATTTTAAAAAAAAGACACTACAGTACCCAGTGCTGATCACGGAGTATCATGATGTAAAATCTAATAATACTATTATTCTTTGTTCAGAAATGATTTTAACCTGCTTTAGTTTGTTTAATCTAAACATAAATGAAGATATGGATACCTGCATGTATGTTTAAGTATATAGGCTTGACAACCATGTTACTAAATTTTTGTTGGACAGTTGAACAGAACTGTTTACAGTCCTGCTGTAATTCCCACTTTACATGTTCCATTTTTGTACCTTGAACAACTATTTGTAAAATGAAAATATGTAAACATCAACTAATGATTTCTTACTGTTTATTTTTTTCCTCTGAACATATGTATTTATACCTATTTTCTGTTTTGTTTAGTCTTTCTTTAAATCAAATTAAAAAAAAAAAAAAAAGACCTAGACATGGCTGGCTGAGCCCTTTAAGATGACCCCAGGCCTTGTGACTGCTTTTCCGATGTGTGTCACCCTTGGGAACTGTTGTTTCTGTTTTTTCTCCCTCCAGCATTCCTTGAAGAAAAGAGGAACCCGCTCCTTGGGGAAGACAGACAAGAAACCTTCTGCGCAGGTACTGCCTGAGAGCCCTGCAGGCAGGTTGTAGCATGAAGCATGAAGGCCTCAGCCTAACTACATGTGGCCAGGGAGTCCCCAGGGCTGCTCAGCTTCTACCCTGTCCTCCTCTTGTTCAGTTCCTTGGCTTCATTGCATTCCCAGAAGCACTCTCAGAGCCCACGGTTCTTTTTTTTTTGTACTGGGGATCACGATTGTGTGCTTGCAGGGTAAGCGCTCATGCCAATGAGCCCCAGTCCCAAGCCCAGAGTTCTTACATGTTTAGGCTCCTCCCAGACGACCAAATCCAAAGGTCCAGAGTCAGAACCTTGGCTTTGCCACTCAGTTGCCTTATGATTGGGCTGAGTCACTTCAACTTTCTGGCCTCAGTTTCTTCATCTATCCCTATCTTGTGGGCCTGCTATAAGAATTCGATAAAATAATGCATGTTGGGCAGGTGAGGAGCAGAATAGCAGTAGCTGCTAGTGGTCCTAATGGGGGCCGGAATACAGAGCAGTTTCAAAACATCATCTCTTTTAATCCTCTCCATGGTTGCTTGAGAAGAGCATTATTTTTATATCTTTCACATGGGAAAACTAGTAGGATGGTGGTAGAAGAGGCTAGGGATATAGCACAGTGATAGCATACACAAAGCCTGGGTGCATTAAAACATAAAAGAGTGGTGGTAGTGGCGGCAGCGACAGACGTCACCTGCTCTCAGACTGCAGGCCTTGGGTGCTGTCCCATCCTTGCTACAATAACTGGATGCAGTGGCACATAGCTGTCATCCCAGCGCTTGGGAGGCTGAAACAGGAGGACTGCTATGGGTTTGAGATCATCTTGGGCTACATAACGAGTTCAAGATCAGCCTGATATGCATAGTGAGAGCCCATCTCAAAAAAAAATCAATGTCCCCTTACCTACTTCCTCTGCCCCCCTCTCCAGCTCCTTGAGGGTTGCATCTAGTTCACCCGTGTTCATAGTGTGTAGTTAGTGCTCAAAGTGCTATGGCTGCTGGTACTGTGCCAGTGCTAACTTTCTTAGCTAGTGTCTGACCCTCTGCCCTTTGGGCCTCAGGAGGACAGCGCAGACCTGAAGTGCCAGCTGCATTTTGCAAAGGAAGAGTCAGCTCTCATGTGCAAGAAGCTCACCAAGCTGGCCAAGGAAAATGACAGCATGAAGGAGGACCTGCTCAGGTACCGCTCACTCTACGGTGACCTGGATGCTGCCCTGTCGGCTGAAGAGCTGGCAGATGCCCCACACTCTCGGGAGACTGAGCTGAAGGTGCACCTGAAGCTAGTGGAGGAGGAGGCCAACTTGCTGAGCCGCCGCATCGTGGAGTTGGAGGTGGAGAACCGGGGCCTGAGGGCCGAGATGGATGACATGAAGGACCACAGCAGTGGCTGTGGGGGTCCTGAGGCCCGGCTGGCTTTCTCTGTACTGGGGGGCAGCGAGTGTGGGGAGAGCCTGGCGGAACTGCGGAGACACCTGCAGTTTGTGGAGGAGGAGGCGGAGTTGCTGAGACGCTCCTCCGCTGAGCTTGAGGACCAGAACAAGCTGTTGCTGAACGAGCTGGCCAAGTACCGCTCTGAGCATGAACTGGACGTGACACTATCAGAGGACAGCTGCTCAGTACTCAGTGAGCCCTCACAGGAGGAGTTGGCAGCAGCCAAGCTGCAGATCGGTGAGCTTAGTGGGAAGGTCAAGAAGCTGCAGTATGAGAATCGTGTGCTGCTCTCCAACCTCCAGCGCTGTGATCTTGCCTCCTGCCACAGCACGCGCCCCATGCTGGAGACAGACGCTGAGGCTGGGGACTCTGCCCAGTGTGTGCCTGCCCCCCTTGGTGAAGCCCATGAGCCCCACTCGGCCCGGCTCTGTAGGGCCCGGGATGCTGAAGTACTGCCAGGCCTGAGGGAGCAGGCCATCCTGGTCAGTAAGGCCATCGATGTCCTTGTGGCTGATGCCAATGGCTTCTCGGCAGGCCTTCGACTCTGTCTGGACAAAGAGTGTGCTGATTTCCGGTTGCATGAGGCGCCTGACAACAGTGAGGGCCCCAGAGACACCAAGCTCATCCATGCCATCTTGGTGCGGCTCAGAGTGCTCCAGCAGGAGTTGAATACCTTTACCCGGAAAGCAGACTCGGTCCTTGGGAGCTCCGGCAAGGAGCAGCCAGAACCCTTCCCACCGCTGCCTGCCTTGGGCTCCCAGGGGGCTTCAAAGGAGATCATTCTGGCCAAAGACCTTGGCTCAGACTTCCAGGTAAGACGTCCCAGTCATTGGCACTGTGACCTTTTTATTTTGTTTAAACTTTATACTGATCCGTAACACACAGAGAGGAACATGCGGAACACATGTGTATGTAGCCTTTGGAATTTCCCACAGGAAGCACTCTGGTGAAACTGTTCCCTAGAACATGACCAGCACCCCAGCAGTCACCTCATCCCCCCTGTAGTCATTATCCCTGCTCCCAAGGACAGCTTCTCTCTCTTTTTTTTTTTTTTCCTTTTTCGGTTTTTATCAGTACCAGGAACCAAACTCACGACCACCTGCTTGCAAGGCAGGCACTTATGCCGCTGAGCTAAATCCCCAGCCCCGACAGCTTCTCTCTTGATGCAGTGTTATCTATCGATGTTTATGAATTTAATCCTGTCATTCAAACTCACTTATGCCTGGCTTCCTTCACTCAGCGCTGTTTGTTCCATGTAACAAAAGTTTTTTTATTCTTACTAGATATGAGCCCCTGGACTGAGTATACCACAAATTACTTATTCATTTATTATAGATAAGTATTAATTTCAAGGTACTGTCTTTTTTTTTTTTTTTTTGTCTTTTTTATTTTTATCGGTACCGGGGATCGAACTCACGACTGCCTGCTTGCAAGGCAGGTACTTATGCCGCTGAGCTAAACCCCCAGCCCCACCCAGAAAAATTTTTAAAAATTAAAAAAAAATTTTTTTTTAAAAAAGGAGTAAAATGGAACAGTAAAATGAAACAAAACAAAACAGTGACAGGATAGTAGGAAATCCACAGTTGTTACTATATTGCATGTTGTTATCCTCTAAATAGTTGCTCAGACTAACTGGCCCCAGGTTTGCAAAGTCAATCAAACAACATAAATGTCAGGTTGCTTCCCTACTTCAGTTACTGTCACCTCAGCCTGTGTGACCTCTGGTTGCTTATGAGGGACTGGGGAAGGCTGTCCAGCTTCTTTGCTGCTTCTCCCTGGCCAACAGGCCTCCACTGGCACAGAACAAAGCTGCATGCTTTTCCTATTTTTTTTTTTTTTTTGTAATTCTTAAAATTTTAAAACACTTTTTTTTTTTTAAAGTCTTGGATTTGTTTCAATATAAAGGCAAGATGCTTAGCTGGGTATGATGGCTCATGCCTATAATTCCAGTATCTGGAGGCTGAGCCAGGAGGATTGAGGCTACCTGAGCTACATAGTAAGATCTTGTCTCAAAAAGCAGCTGAGAACCTCAGCTTGCTCTAGGTAATGGAATTCCAGCCTTGGTGTCCATAAGTGCTTCTCAGGAAAGTACTCCCCCACTCCCCTGTACAAAATGTCCTATTGCAACAATAGACATAAACATTTAAAAAGTTTTAAAAGTGCCAGGGGTAAACAGATAAAAAGCCCACTTCCTCTGCCTCCCACTGGCACAACTAGTTTGTTGTTATTTTAAGTAGAGCGGATAGAATGCCGCAACTTGTGGATGTCTGGAAAGCACTCTAGCACTGAGCGACATCTCCAGCCCTGGCACTACAGTCAGTAGTCTGGAGTGGTACTGTCCAGGTTAGTAGCTGCCATGGCACTGTGGAGTAGCTCCATGGTCTAACGTTTGCCTAGTAAAACTTCGGCTCCATACCCATACCACATTAATTAATTAACTAATTACAACTACTTAGAATTAAAAATTCAGTTCCTCAGTTACAGTAGTCACATTTCAAGTGCTCAGTTGTCATACACCCGGCTTGTGTCTCCTGTGTCTAGTTGCAGATCTAGGATATTTCATCTTTGTAGACTGCCTTTCTAGATCTTTCAAGACATATGTTCTCATGCATTTGCTTTTCGTCCCTTATACCTACTGTTACTAAGCAATGTAATTTTCTCATGCAATTTATTCATGTGTTCATTTGCTGTGATGATCCATGTACAATATATGTCCTTTCTGTGCTAGGCGCTAAAGGCGTAATGATAAGCAAAACCAGATAGGATTTCTGCTCTTAAGGCCCTCATTGTCTAATGGGGAAGAGTTAATCAAAATGTCATGCCAGTAAATGTGAAATTACAAACTGAGAAGAGGGATCTGAAGGGGAGATAAATGGTTTTCTGAACAAGGAACTTGACCTAAACCCTGGGGGCAGCTCAGCTCTGAGGCACAAGGAACGTGGTGTGTCTGAGGATGTGAGCAAAGAGAAGGGAGGCTGGACTGCAGAATACTGAGGGCTTTGATCTGCATCTGAGAGCATCAGCAGGGATCTATCCATGTCTATGCAGGAGACTTAGCTCACTCTTTCTAATAACTACACAGCAGCGCTGTGCCAAACTTCAGCTCATTCCCTGTAGAGCTGGCTTGATCTTACTTTTTTAAAGCAGTCTGCCTCATGTTGAGTCATCCTCTTGATTCTTAAGGTAGGAGTAAGGTAGGATACATGTGATAGGATGGTTGGCTGTTTCAGAGGGTTTGTGCACAAAATAGACACTAACAAAAGTAGTACTTTACTCGCCACTTACTGCTCATTCATCTTTTCAACAAACAATGAGTGGCAGCACTGGTCCTTAGCAGGGCTGGGTTCAGACTGTGGAGGTAGGGTCGCCCTCCCATGGGTGGACAAAGCCTCTTGGCCTGGGATGAGGGCTGTATATGGCATCCCTGTGGTGTCTCTCCATGATTTTCTTTGTTTTCTTCTGCCCGTGCCTCCGGGTGTAGCCACCTGACTTCAGGGACCTGCCAGAATGGGAGCCCAGAATTCGAGAGGCCTTCCGCACTGGTGACTTGGACTCTAAGGCTGACTCCAGTTGGAGCTTCAGGCCTTACCGAGCCGAAGACAATGATTCCTATGCTTCTGAGGTGGGTCCGACACTAGTTAAGCAAGAGGCTGGGTGGGAAGAGAATGGCCAGGGCCTCCTCCCAAAGGCAGAGTGTTCTGTGGAGGGTGAGTATAAGAGTTTTAAGCAAACAAGGAAGTCGGGAAGTTTGGACCATTCTTATGGCCTAATCAAAGGAAGCTTATAACCTCATCTCAAACAATTGGTTTTTTTCTCTATTAGCATCCACTGGAAATTTAATAATTCATGTCATTTAATGAAGTTACTAATCTGTATACCAGGAAGTCAGTCTCTGTAGTTAGGCTGTGTGGGTTCCAATTGTGGATCCACTCTACACTGGCTGTCAGAGCTCAGATAAGTCATTTCACCTTTCTGATTTTTCAGCTTTTCAACCTACAAAGCGAAAATCCCTCACAAGTCTTACTTAAGGTCTAGGCCATGGATAAAGATGAGGATGTCCTATCACTTGGACTCAGCTGACCTGAGAGCAAGTCTGTTCTGCCGGCCAGTGTGGCTGTGTGACCTAGGACACATCCCCACCCTCAAGCCCCAGTTTTCTCCTTTATAACATGGGAAGATGAGAATTGCTGCTACAGGGTTCTCTGAACTTTGGGAGATTTGAGGTGATCCTAAGCCGCTGCCAAGCCTTTCAGCACTTCATAAAGGACCTGGAGCTAGAAAAGGGCTGTGTGAACTGAACTGACTATCCCCAAGGCTCCTCAGCCTTAGTATGCCTTTCTTTTTCTTTTTCTTTTTCTTTTGTCTTTTTGAGACAGGGTTTCACTATGCAGTTCAGGCCAGCCTTGAACTCACTTTGTGAGCTGGCCTCAAACTTAAGCAATACTCCTACCTCAGCTCCCAAGTGCTATAGGCATTACAGGCATGCTCTGACACCCCTAGTCAAGCATCCCTTTCTTGGGAGCATCGTGGGAAGGTGGCTTTGATGTCTTGGGATGGCCTGCCTGCACCTGTGCTGAGGTTTCGTTGAAGCTGAAGGATCAGATCCTCTTAAGTGAGGTGCTCTGAGCTTTAAAGTGGTCATTGCAAATAGGGGAAAAGTAGAAGCTGGGGGGATGAATGTAGCTCATTGATAGAACACGTGCCTATCACATGCAATCTGAGTTCAATCTATAGTACCCTTCCCCCTCCAAAAAAGTGGCCAGGGATGTAGCTCAGTAGAGCACTTGCAAAGCATGCATGAGGCCTGGGCTTGATCCCTAGTATAGGGAGGGAAAAAAAGAAGAAAAAGGAGCTATTTAGTTCTTATTCTCTAAGAGAAGGAAATAGAACTATTTCTATAGGCATGCATACAGAGAAAATTGTTTCCTGCATACAGCTAATTATTGTTTTATTTAGCTGTTCCTTAAGGAGCAGTTATAATTGTGAAGAATTGAGCTGAACATTGAGTTCAAGGGGGATAGCAGAGAGAACAGATAGTACCTAGCCCTGTAAAGTCTTTTTAGTCTTGTTTTTTCTATTTTTTGTGATACTAGGTATACCCTAGCCCTATCTCTCTCCCTCCCTCCCTGTTTCTTTCTCTCCCTCCCACTCGGTCTCTCTCTTTATCTTTCTCTCTCCTTATCTAACTTTTTTCTCCCTCTCTCCCACTATATCTAATTTTTGAGACAACGACTCACTACTCATTAAGTTGGCCAGGCTGAGCTCATACTTGGGATCTTCTTGCTTCGTACTCCCAAAGTGGTGGAATTATAGTTATGTAATTCCGTTTTGTTTTTTATGCAGTCCTGACAGTTTCCAGGACTTCATTCATGCTGGGCAAGTTTTCTACTACTGAGCTATGCTCCCAGCCTGCTGCAATGGTTTTTAATATAAAACAAGTACATAAGACATAACCTCTAGGGCTGGGGATTTAGCTCAGTGGTGTAAGTGCCTGCTGGCAAGTGTGAGGTCATGAGTTCAATCCCTAGTACAAAAACAAAAACAAAACAAAACAAAAAAAAGACATACCTCAAGTCAGTGAGCCTTTCATGGCTAAATTATCACATTATTGCCACATAGTTTATGTTTATTTTCTTTTACACAGAAACATCTGTCATAACTGAAAGGTTTTACATAGGAGTTGGAACTGACATTTCTTTTTTTCCCTCCTGCTTAATATGACAACATGAATATTTGCCTCTGTTGCCAGAAATCTTTAATAAATTTTATTTAATTTTATCTTTTTGAGACATAGTCTCACTATATAGTACAGCTAGCTTTGAACTCACTGTGTAGCCCAGGTTGGCCTTGAACTTAAGGCAATCCTGCAGCCTCAGCCTCCTGAGTGCAGGGATTACAAGCATATGCCACCACGCCTGGCCCAAATTTTAAATTTTTTTGGAGACAGGGTCTTATTGTGTTGCTCAGGTTGATCCCCAACTCACTGGCTCAACACTTCTCCCACTGTAGCCTCCAGAGTAGCTGGGACTACCGGTGTGCACCACCACACTCAGCTGACATTTTTTATTGAAGCATAACATACATAGAGAAAAGTGCTTATGGGGTGGGGGCACAACTCAATGGTAGTGCACTCTTCCCTAACACACACAAGGCCCTGAGTGTGATCCCCAATACATTCAAAAAGGAGAGAGGGACATGTTATATATAAATCAAATTTTCACAAACTGAACTCCGCAATATAATACCCAGATCAATAAACAGCGTGACCCACCTCTGCGATTCCCTGTTATGTTCCCTTCTATCCACTGTCTGGACATCTAAGAGAGTATTAGTTCTGACAGGTAGGTCGCACATCCTGTAACCTCAGCTACTCAGGAGAAGAGGCAGGAGGATCACAAGCGTGAGACCAGCCTGAACAACTTAGCAGGTTGTGTGAAAGGAAAAGAGAAAAAAAGAAAGCTAGTGCTGTAGCTCATGGCCACAGTGCTGCTCAGTGTGTTCAGGACCTTGGGTTCAAATCCCCAGTTAATATTAGGGGGAAAAAAGATCAGTTTGCCTATTTAGCTACGAATACTTTTAAATGGCAATTTCTGTAGAAAATGTGAAATTTTTTTATCATTTTCTGAACATCTTACCACATAGTCATTGTAAACCACAAATAACAAAATCCCGAAGCAGGATTTCATTAAGGTATAAAGGAAAAAGTCAACACCATGCAATCATCATGTAGTTAACTGCTGTTTACATTCAGAGCATACCTGTCTTTTTTTTTTTTTTTACATACTTGTCTTTTATATAATAGTAACAGACATACAATAAAGGACAGTATCATTAAGTACAGTTGAATGGATTTTTATATTATATGCAGATCCATTATTGCTTCTTGGCCTTATGATCAAGAATAGATCCATTAAATATATTTTAGGGCTAGGGATATAACTCAGCAGCACAGTGTGTGCCTGGCAAGCATGACATCCTGAATTCAAGTCCCAGTACGAGAAAAAAAATTATATGTGTGTGTGTGTATCTCCATGATTTATTATTGAAATTTTTAAATTGTTGCAGTTACACACTGAGACTGCTGCTGGGTGGGGTGGCGTATGTCTATAGTTGCAGCACTTTGGAGGCTGAGATAGGAAGATTGCTTGAGCCCTGCAGTCTGAGGCCACCCTGAACAACATAATGAGACCCTATCTCAATAAACAAATAATAAAAATTTATCTGGGCATGGTGGTGCACACCCATAATGCTACCATTTTGGGAGACTCAGGCAGGAGAATCACAAGTTTGAATCCAAGTAGGGTAACTTAGTGACTTTGCAAGGCCCTGTCAGACCCTATCAGAGTAATAAAGGACTAGGGATGTAGCTCAGTGCAAAGGCTCTGGGTTCAATCCCCAGTACCATCAAAAACAACACAACACAATACACACACACACACACACACACACACAGCCCAGCGTGGTGTCACATTTCTATAATCCCAGCACTCAGGAGACTGAGGCAACATGATCACCATAAGTTCGAGTTCAAGGCCAGCCTACACTACATAGTGAGATCTTAACCTCCAAAAACAAAAACAGAACCATAAAACACAGTGAGACAATGAGCATCTTTGTGAATCAGACTTACTGTAGTTTTCCCAATATGTTATTTTCTTCAAATAAATGAAGGACATTACCAACTTCAGATGTAACAGTAGGTAGACTTTGTATGCAGTGTTTCATCTGTCCTGACAATCCACTGAGTAGGGACAGCCATTGTGCCTTATCTGTACTCAAGTGGCACTTGAGTCCAACTTACTATTGGTCCCCCTACCACTTTCATTCTTTGACTGCAGCCTGTATCCTCTTTGTCCTCTCTCTTTCCTCCTTACCTGTGTCTCTGTCCCCACCCCAGATCAAAGAGCTGCAACTGGTGCTGGCCGAGGCCCATGACAGCCTCCGGGGCTTGCAGGAGCAGCTCTCCCAGGAGCGGCAGCTGCGGAAGGAGGAGACCGACAGCTTCAACCAGAAAATGGTCCAGGTGAGTGATGCACCTACTCCAGGCTTCTTCCCAAACTGAAGGCAAAGGGGCTAGAATCGTAGCTCTGTGGTGGAGTCTCGCCTAGCTTACATAAGGACCTGGGTTCCATCCCCAGCACTGCAAAAACAAAACAAAACAAAAATGAAAGTAAACCAAACTTGATGGCAGAACCCTTGGACCCACAGGGTAAGGTGATACTGTTAGGGGAAATCATATCTTGTGAGCCCTGTGTCCTGTAGGGAGTTACTGTGCTTGTGATTTTGCATTAGCTGGACTAAGTGTAAATCCTGGACTTGTCATTGGTTATCTGTGTGACCAGTCCTGTCTCCTCTCAGGACCTCAGTTTTCCATCTGTGAAATGGTACTTCCATCAGGTCTGACTAATAATATAGGTGATAGTTCTGTAATAGCATTTATTGAGCTCTCACTGTATGTCAGGTCTATGTAACACAATTTCTCTACCCATGCCCTTGAATTTCCATGCCCTCCCTTGTGAGGTATCCCCATTTTACAGGATGGAAAACAGGTCCAGAGACTGAAGTGCTTTGTTCACAGTCACACATCCTGGGTGAAGTGGGGCTGTGATTCTCTTATCCCGGACTTAGCGTGGCTTCTAGGATATCGCATATTCATTCATTCACTTGGCCCTGGCATCCTTCTATGTGGGTTACCTGTCCCTGCCATCACCACTCACCTCCAGTTCCTCCTTCAGTGTGAGATTTCTTGTGAAGCATCTGGCAGCCAGTAGGTGTTCAGGGTATGATTATGTGATTTATTTAGTCAAATAGCTGATTCAAATCCTAGCTTTTCCATGGATTTGGATTGGAGCTGCTGTTGCTTTTTGAGTTACTCTCCCCTGGGTAGAACAGACTGTTCGTGGTGGGAGCCTTATAAGGGATCCCCACAGGATACCTCCCACTTTTCCCCTCCGCCCTTGACCACTTCCCCCTGCTGGGAGTGGGTGGGAATGTTGGAACCCTGAGTGGCCTTTCTCAAGTCAGCGTCCCTGCAGCTGAAGGAGGACCAGCAGAGGGCACTGCTGAGGCGGGAGTTTGAGCTGCAGAGTCTGAGCCTGCAGCGGAGGCTGGAGCAGAAGTTCTGGAGCCAGGAGAAGAACATTCTGGTACAGGAGTCCCAGCAGTTCAAGCACAATTTTCTGCTGCTCTTCATGAAGCTCAGGTGGTTCCTCAAGCGTTGGCGACAGGGCAAGGTTTTGCCCAACGAGGGAGATGACTTCCTGGAGGTATGGCAGGGCCTGGGCCTGGGCCTGGCAAGGTGGGTGGGAAGACAGGGAAGACAGATGAGTGGAACATAGCACTTCACATTAATGTCAGCATACTGTGGGAAGTATTAGTGTGGGATGATCTCAAACCCCGCAGGGCTGTTCAGTCCTCTGTAGGAACCATAAGTCTTACAATCCTAAATTGAATTCCAAACAAGCATGGGGGTAGAGTGTGTGTAAACAGGCACAAGCCCTGGGATCCATCCTCAGCACCAAACAAAAGAGAAGAACAAACCAACAGCCCTGGTCCTGCGGATTTCACAGGGGGCCTTGTGCACCTCAGTGTAGGTCTTCCAGAGACTATGAAAGTAGATCCTCCTGACCAGGGTTTGAATTGGGGCACTGATTCCTGCAGGACCCCCTCGCCACATCCAGCTTCATTATCTTGGATCCCTTCTTAATTGGCTTCTAGGTCACTATACTCTTGGTTTTCCTTCTGTCTACGGGGTTCCTTCTTATCTCACCACCTTTTTTGTTTTCTTTGGTGGTACTGAGGATAGAACCCAGGACCTTGTGCATGCTGAGTGCATGCTTTACCCCTGAGCCACAGGCCCAGCTCCCTGACTTCATCTCTTAAAATCAGAGTCTCTAGTCAGGTATGGTAGCACATGCCTGTAATCCCAGCCCTCTAGAGGCCGAGGCGGGAGGATCACCAAGAGGTTGAGGCCAGCCTAAGCTGTATAGTGAGTTCAAGGCGAGCCTGACCTAGATAGCAAAACACTTTCTCAAAAAACCAACAGAAGGGGCTGGGGATTTAGCTTTGTGGCATAAGCACCTGCCTTGCAAGCAGGTGGTCATGAGTTCAATCCCCGGTACCGATAGAGAAAAAGAAAAAAAAAAAAAAACCAACAGAAGAAAATCAGTCTATAAGATTCAGCCCTCGACTGCATCTCTGTGTCATCTGCTCTGACTGCCTTGGAGGCTTTCTGGACAGTGAGTTGTAAAGGTCCTAGTGAGGGGCAGGGATTTAGTTCAGTGGCATAAGCACCTGCCAGGTGAGCACAGGGTCGTGAGTTTGATCCCTGGTGCTAAAATAAATAAAATAATAAATAAAATAAAAACCTAGGTGTCTCCCATGAACCCTCAGTTTTCATGGTCTTTGTCACAGATCCCCCCCAGTGTCTAGTTGGCTTTGAAACCATATGTCAAACCAAGCTCCTGTTCTTTTTCCAGGTCATGACAGTCTTCTTGCTCTAGCCAAGAACTGTGGTACAGACACAGGGATTTAGCTCAGCAGCACAGCGCCTGCCTGGCAAGCGCGAGCTCATGAGTTTGATCCCTGGTACCAAAAAAAGGAAGAAAGAAAGAAGGAGAAAAGTGGTGCTACACTCTCACTCTTCTCTTTCCTTCACGCCTCAGCCAATCAGCAGATGCTGCCAGCTCCCCCCAGAACCTGAGCTGTCCCCGCTGTTGCCTGACAGGCCGCCACACCTCTTTCTGGATCATGGCCATCACCCTAACTGGTCTCCCTCCTCTGCTCTCACATCCCTGCACCATGCATCTTGTACTCCTCTGAGGTGCCAGGAGAAGAGTTGTGCAGTACGGGCCATGTGGCTGTGCTGGATGTGTCTCAGTGCAGAGCGACCTTGTGACATAGGCTCAGCTTAGTGTCACTCCCTTGCTTTCAGCCCTCGCTGGCTCCCCCGTGCTCTTCTCACATCCCCTTGGCGGCTTTGTTAGTCCTCAGACAGGCATGTTCTAGCTCAGGGCCTTTGGGTTCGTGGTGCCCTCTCCGCGGCCTTTTCTTCCTCCAGCTGTTCTCCCAGCTCATCTGCACATCTCCTCAGGACTTTGCCCCGGGTCACCTTCCCTGTGGAGCCTTCTTTGGCCACATGCAGCACGCTCCTTCACCGGCTCTTTTTCTCTAGAGCAGCTGACTGTGTGACTTTCTATATAGTGAACAATACTTCACATCTGTTACCTATTTACCTCTGTGTTTTTCTGTTAGTGGAATGGAAGGGGAGCAGGCTCTTGGTCTGTCTTGTTCACTGATGGATTTCCACGTTCCCAGGGCCTGGCACATGGTAGATGTTCGGTAATTGGCCGTTGAAAGAACAGATGATGAGTGGAAACCCTGGTCCAAAGTTGCCCTCTTTCTGCTCTGTTCCCATCCTGAATACTTGTGCTGGTCTCTGGGTTGGCTGGGACTCCTGTTAAGCATCTGTCAGCAGCGTGTCCTCCACCAAACCTTTGGTCACTCTCATGTGTCATCACAGCAGCTGGGCAGTAGCCCTTTTAGTCCAATCACATGCTTACCTTGGCTCAGCCTGGCATTTTTAAGTAACTTTGAGGGGTGGTCATGGGCCTTGGGAGGTCAGAAAGCTGTGTTTTTCCACCTGGATGGTTCCCCAGGGTCAAGAGTAAGATCTGGGAAGTCAACTTGGTGTAATGGTGTGTGTCTTTTAATCCCAGTACTCAAGAGGCTGAGACAGGAGGATTGCTGGGAGTTCAAGGACAGCCTGTACTACACAGCAAGACCTTGCTCAGAAAAACAAAAACAAAAACAAAAAACTTTTTTTTTTTTGGGTACTGGGGATCGAACTCATGACCTCACGCTTGCCAGGCAGGCGTTTATGCTGCTGAGCTAAATCCCCAGCCCCCAAAAACAAAAAACTTTAAAAAATAGATTTGGGAAGTAGGTGCCTGGCAACATACCTTTGGTCCATCTTGAGCCACCACTCCCACTCCTCCTTTCTGCCTATGTGCCACTCAGCTATCTGGACTGCTAGCCAGCGTCCCTGTTTCCCAAAGGCTGGAGCCCCAGATGTGACTATCTCTCACCCCTTGCTAAGTGTGACTTTTAACATAGGTAAACAGCATGAAGGAGCTGTACCTACTGATGGAGGAAGAGGAACTGAATGCCCAGCACTCTGACAACAAGTCTTGCACAGGGGACAGCTGGACTCAAAACACAGTGCGTTCTCAGCCCTTCCCTTCCCTTGTCCACTCATTAATCACCTCCTCCTCTGGTCCCAGCTCTGCGCTGGGCACTGGAGCTCCACAGTGGCATTGCCTGATCACTGGCTCCCAGTTGCCTAGGACTATGGAACACATAAGTTATCCCAGGGCACTGACAGAGGGCCAGATGGTGGACTGTAAGGTCACAGGCAAGCAGTTAATTCTAGTTGGCATATGGAGAACAGTATCACAAAGAATGGGTTATAGGTAGCGGGTATTGAAGGATAAATAGGAACTTGCATAAAAGAGGATGGAGAAAAGATTATTCTGGACCTTCTTGCCGAGGTGTGGCAAGGTATTCTGGGATTGGCTATGACTTGGAGTATACGTGGTAGGGGCAGAGATAATCAAGATAGGGTTACATGAAGGGGGCCTTTATGGTCTGGGATTAAGAACTCTCAAATCCAGTCACAGGTCAGAGATCAGTGGGGTCAGATTTCCAGGGTATGGATGGGAAAAGGGATCAAGAGCCTAGGAAAGAAGTCTGGCACTGTTGGGAGGCTCTGCAGGGGGTCAGAGTCAGGTCCTGACTGAGGGGAAAGCCCACACCCTGGAGGTTGCCAAGCCTAGAAAAGTGAAATTCTTCAGCAGTGTTTAGATGGAATACCTGCTGGAGTTTTGTAAGAAGCAGGCAGGGCTGGGCTTGTCCTCCCTGCTTCATGGTGACAAGACCTGAGGAAGAACTTGCTAAGTGTCACAGAGTCCTGGGTGAATGCTTTGAGCCCAGGCTCCCAGTGCTCCTGATCCAGCCTTGCTTTGTCTGTAGCCCAATGAGTACGTCAAGACGCTGGCCGACATGAAGGTGACGCTGAAGGAGCTGTGCCGGCTGCTGCATGAGGAGCGCCGGGGGCTAACTGAGCTGCAGCAGCAGTTCGCCAAGGCCAAGGCCGCATGGGAGACGGAGCGGGCAGAGCTCAAGAGCCACAGCACCCAGGTGAGCCCCCTCTCCCAGGCAGGGACCTTTGCTTGCCCTCAGCCAGGCCCTCGGCTGTCAGATGTGGGAGCTGGATGCCCAAGTGGTGCTTCTGAGGGGGTAGGCCCCCCTCATTTCACCTTGTGGTCTAGAGAGGGCAGCAGACTTGCCTAGAACCACAGCGCAAGGGTCGCAGAGTGAGGATCAGGAGTGATGAGCCCAGGCAAGGAGGCTGGATGATTGACAGGTGGGACTGCTGCACTGTGGGCTCATGGCTGAGGCCAGACTGCCTGTCTGCAAATGGGTATGTCTCACACACACTTCCTGGTCCCTGCCATCCTCACTTACTCCCTCCTCTCCTCGTGGGAATCCCCCAGCCCCTGACTCCTTGCTCTGGTTTGCTTCCTCCACTCAAATTGAAAACTTCCCATCCAACAGCCCAGCCTCACCAAAGGGATTCTTAATCAGGAGTTTAGTGTCTGCTGTGTGCCTGGGAGCAAGCTGCTGCCCACTCTGGTCTGACAAATGAGAAGGGTGCCCATGCTGAGAGGATACATTGACTCCGCAGGTCTGCAGGTCTGGGCTCCTGTGCAGCTCTGCAGGTCCGACCTACCCTGCTGCAGATGCTTTCCTGGGCATCACTGGGCACTGGGAGGTGGGCACTCTGATGATCTCTGCAGGATGGATGACAAAACAGGCCCTGGGGAGTTAAGTTCTGTCCGGTGGCACCTAGTGGCACATCTGTTGAGCTCTCTGAGCCTCTGCCTTGCCTGGCTCCCAGGAATCTTCCTCTCAGTGCTCACAGGCACCTGGCTTCTTCTTGGGTCCCCTGCTCTCCACCTAAGCCTCGATGCAGATCTTGTAGCACCTGCCCACCTGCATATCCTGGGATCCTCATCCTCATCCTCATGCTGCTACTCTAAGCCACACCACTCCAGGGTTCCCAGGTCCCCATCAGCCCTGTGGGATCAACATCCCAGATCATATACCCCAGTGCTGTAGGAGACATTGGCTCTTGAATTTTCTTGTTCTGGGGCCAAGAAAGCTGTCATGCCATGCTAGAGTGGTTCCCACACACATGCAGTGTAAGTGCGTGTGTCCCTCCCCACCCAGGGTCTGTGGGGGACAAAGTGGGGTCCCTGCTTGCTAGGAAGAGAGATAAAATATGTCCCTCATTAACCAAAACCTGTCCTGCTGGTAAGAATTGATAATATCTGGAGACACAATAACTAGGAACATCTGCCATTACAGCTCTGAAACATGGTACACATAACCCCTTGGGATCTCTCCCCGGAAAACCAGAGAAGGTAGTTCTGTGGCTCAGTTACCATGGTGACCCTGAGAGCATGCCTGTGAGCCTGCAGTGTGGAGCTTGGCTTAAAGGACCTCAGTCCTTCCTGGATGCTGCTAGCAAGAAGGGCACTGAAGGCTTCTGGGAGCCCAAGATGGGAAAGGGCAGAGTGGACGGCCTGCTGGTGGCAGCTGCCTGATTGCTTTCCTCTGCAGATGGAGCTGAAGGCTGGAAAGGGGACTGGAGAGCGGGCAGGGCCTGACTGGAAGGCAGCCCTCCAGAGGGAGCGCGAGGAGCAGCAGCACCTCCTGGCTGAGTCCTACAGTGCAGTCATGGAACTGACGCGACAGCTGCAGATCAGCGAGCGCAACTGGAGCCAGGAGAAGCTGCAGCTGGTGGAGCGGCTGCAGGGGGAGAAGCAGCAGGCAGAGCAGCAGGTGAAGGAGCTGCAAAACCGCCTAAGCCAGGTGAGGCTGCTCCAGTCCACAGGGCTTGACCCACAAGGGAGGTCATTGTGGGAGAAGTCTTGAGATTGCATCTCTTCAGGTATTGCTGGACCCAGATGCTCAGACAACGAGGTCTAGAGTAGAATCTACTTCTAGTATAGCTAGTTTCGGTACTCAGAGATGGTAAGAATGAGGTCCTTCTGTCTGCCTCAGTCTCAAGCCTGCTGTCATTTTGTTAGCTTTCCTCTTAAGCATACTATCCCCAAATATGGCCTCTGTAGTTTCCTGCTCATATCTTACATCTTAGCAAATACAATGAAAACAGTTTCTTTTCCATAAAGTTCTGATTCCATGGTCATAGGTCATGTGCCCACCTCTGGAGCCCCCTAAAACCCAGGAACCAAGAGGAAAGAGCCAACAGTGATTCTCATTGGAAAACTGGGGTCTCGATCAAAACAGGTTGGGAGTGTGCAAACTCACTGTTGACTGTTACAGTTCGCATCATGCACCTAACTGCCACCTACTGCACTGCTGGGCCTACTCTGTGACCTCCTCTTTTTGTTTCCTTTTTTTTTGGTAGCACTGGAAATCTGAACCCAGAGCACAGGTGGGGAGGAGGGCACCATACCTTGGGACCCACTACACTGTTACACTGTCAGTGATGCTCGCTTAGTTGCCCAGTCTTGGGCAAGTTTTCCCCCTTCTCTCAGTCTTGACCCCATCGTTGTGAAATGGAAATAAGCAGGGTCACACCTACCTCATGTGGTTTCTGTGAGGGTGAAATGAACTAATGTGGACACAGCAAACAGAAGAGGAGAGGGGTCAGAGGCACTTCTGTGGGGTCCATCAGTGATGGCCACCACTGAGCAGCAGAGTCCTTGGATTTTTATTGGGTTTTTTTCCTGCGGTCCTGGAGATTGAGCCGAGGGCCTTCTCACTAAACTACATCTCCATCCTCTTTTTAAAAATTTTTTGTTTTGGGGCTGGGGATTTAGCTCAGCGGCATAAGCACCTGCCTTGCAAGCAGGCGGTCATGAGTTTGATCCCTGGTACCGATAAAAAAAAAAAGAAAAAGACAAAAAAAAAAAATTTTTTTTTTTTGTTTTGAACACTGAGTTCTTGCTAGATTGCTAAATAGTTCAGGCTGATTTTAAACTTGTAATTCTCCTGCCTCCACCTCCCAGAGTGCTGGGATGACAGGCATGAGCCACTCACTATGCCTGGCTTCCTTGGAGTTTATATTTGCCACTGTGATGTGGAATAGGTGCTACTCAGCTGGTGTGTCTGTCCCCAGAACTCTGACATGAATTAATGTAACAATAGCAGGTGGTCCTGTAGTAGATATACTTGCACCTCTAAGTACCTTGCACCTTGTGGCTCAGAGCTGCTGCTACTTGAGAAGCTGGCTCCTGATCCGTGACATGGGTCCTGTGGTTGCAGAGTGGAGGTTGGGGCACAGCTGTGCTCAAATCGAGCCCCTCCTCTCCGGCTGTGCCCACCACTGACTCACTCCTCTTGCCCTTGTTCAGCTGCAGAAGGCTGCTGATCCCTGGGTCCTGAAACACTCAGACCTGGAGAAGCAGGACAACAGCTGGAAAGAGGTGAGGGTATTGCTGCTACCCGTGTTCTCTTGGCTTCTGACTATACCAAAAATTTAGTTGTCTGTTTGTGGGGGACAGGACGGAGGATGTTATCCCTGTCGCATGGGACTCCTAGGGGGTCTTCATCCTTGGTGTCTCTACCCCATGGTTGCATGGTGTGTGGTCTGGAAGAGTCCTCTGCCAGGACTATCCTTCCATTGCTGGAGAAATCTCGGTCTTGGTATCATGTGTGCTTCTGTAGAAAACAGGGCCCCTAACTGGCTGTGATCTGGGGCATGTCATTCCCCATCTTTGGGCCCCAGTTGCCTCATTGATAAATGAGAATCAAATTTTCCATCCTGGCCCATCCCAGGGTGTGGAGATAATAAGGTCACATTAATGACATCTGTACATAAGGCTCCAGTGCATTGTCTGTAATAACATGCTAAATAACCAGATGGAACTTTGATATGGCCCATGTGGCCCTATGACAGCCTGAGGAAGTGGTGTGTCACAAATGCCTAATGTGGGGGCTGGGATATGGCTCAGCAGCAAAACACTGGCCAGTGTGGGTACGCCTGGCCAGTGTGGGTACACCTGGCAAGCATGAGGTCCTGAGTTTGATTCCTAGTACCACCTAGTAGGTGGCTACTTTACAAACAACAAACACCTACTTTGGGGAACTGAGACACGAGGATTTTCTTAGAAGTTCAGGAGTCCTGATAATGCAGGTTACTGGGGCTATGCCTCTAGAACCAGTGTGGAACAAGCCCAGAGCAGCAGCTGTATGGTCATTGCTGTCGCCACCAACTAACCAACTGGCCATGGGGTGCTTTGTTGCTGCCACCACATTGGAATAAATTTTACATGGTCATGTTTCCCTTAGGGGTCACTCATGCGGCTTCAGCTACTCCCCATGCTGAATCTTATTCCTAGGGTGGCAGAGTTAGACACAATGCAGCCAGAAGCTGACCAATGGCCATTCAAGATCATTGATGAAATTACTCAGCTCTCCAGATGGGGAGATGGAGGCATGGAGGGCCAGGCCTAGCTCCTGCACTGGGCTCCTGTCAGATTCCTTCAGGGGCCAGAGCTGACCCTTCCTATCTTTCTTCAACAGACAAGAAATGAGAAGATCCATGACAAGGAAGCTGTTTCTGAAGCTGAGCTTGGGGGAACCAGTTTAAAGAGGTGCTGGCACCCCCTTCCCTGCCCTGCCCACTACCCGGCCTGCCTCACCCACAGCCCAGCCCACCTGGCCTGCACCTTCCCCTTTTCAGAACTGTAAGAGCACTGGGCTGTGATTTCTGTGGAACCCAAGTCACTCAGGAGCAGGAAACATGGGGAAATAGGAACTGTAGCCAGGATTTCAGTCTGCAGTTTGACGTTTGTTTTAGATTCTGGGCATAGAAAACTGGGGCCCCAGCATATTCCCTCTGACACACCGTTTAGCTCTTCTTGGATTCTTTCTTCTGTCTTTGGAGTTAGGAGAGTTGCAGTGGGTATGAAATTATTAGGCAGCATCCACTGGACACAGCCCCATGAGGTAAAGCCAAGGGGACCCCATATCTCAACAATGAGATCTATGAAAGAACGGAGACAGAACCCCTCTCACCCCCCATCCTTGTGGAACAGCCCAGAAGCAAGGGGCCCAACCATGGGAGAATGGGGGCTGCAGCAGAGGGCCAAATGTGATTTCCCTTCTCTAGTGGGATAATAGGAGCTGCCCCTGTAGCTGTCAGAGTGGACGGGTATCTGCAATGGACTTGCACATGCCCAGCACATCAAGCAGCAAAAGCCCCGTATATGCCGGCAGTTTGTTGGCATACACAGCCCTGAGACAAGGCTTTACGTGCAAGTAGTTTATTTGGGAGAAGATTCCAGGAACTACCGAAAAGCAAGACAGGCAAGAAGAGTAGCCAGTAACAGGCGTTTCTACCTGGTTATTCTGTGGGCAGCTGTCACCCAGTCTCACTGAGAAACTGAGCCAGGTGAGAACATGCAGTTCAGAGTTACCCCGCTGTGGAATTGAGGGAACTGGTATAAAGCTGTGGGAACCTGGGGTACCCATTCACCAAGTCCTGCCCATGGTGTGTTCAGAGCTGTGTTCAGGGGCCATTAACTCTGCTCTTCCTGTCTTCCTTTGTCTAGAGACCAAATGTGCACCCATAACCAGAGACAGAGGCCCTGAGTCAGAGGATAGCAAGTGTTTAGGACGTGCAGGTGGGAGTAAGAGAGGATGGGGAGGCACCCACAGTGCTTTCTACAGGGGACCAAGGCACCCTGGTCCTGGCCTGCACCCATCAAAGAAGTAGACCACATGTGTGCTCAGCGTGTTACTTTCCATTAATACTACTTTTCCGCTTCTCCTCTCCCCAGGACCAAATCTGTCTCCTCTATGTCTGAGTTTGAAAGTTTGCTTGACTGCTCCCCCTACCTTGCTGGTGGAGATGCCCGAGGCAAGAAGCTACCAAGCAACCCTGGCTTTACCTTTGTGAATCCTGAGCAAGTGGATCCAGAGAAAGAAGCCAAGGAAAAGCCCGGGCTCTCCCCACAGGACTGCAACCCGTTGGGCACCCTGGGCTGTCAGGACCCCGCTGGGAAGCAGATGCAGCGTAGCTACACAGCCCCAGACAAGACAGGCATCCGAGTCTACTACAGCCCTCCGGTGGCGCGGCGCCTGGGTGTGCCTGTGGTCCATGACAAGGAGGGCAAGATCCTCATTGAGCCTGGCTTCCTCTTCACCACGGCCAAGCCCAAAGAGTCAGCCGAGGCTGATGGACTGGCTGACAGCTCCTATGGCCGCTGGCTCTGCAACTTCTCCCGGCAGCGCCTGGATGGGAGTTCTGGGGGCAGTGCCACGGCACCTGGGTCTGCCTTCCCCCCGGCCCTGCATGACTTTGAGATGTCAGGCAACATGAGTGATGACATGAAGGAGATCACCAACTGTGTGCGGCAGGCCATGCGCTCTGGCTCCCTGGAGAGGAAAGTGAAGAACACATCCAGCCAGACGGTGGGCCTGGCCAGTGTGGGTACGCAGACCATCCAAACGGTCAGCGTAGGCCTGCAGACTGACCCACCACGCAGCAGCCTCCATGGCAAGAGCTGGTCACCCCGCAGTTCTTCCCTGGTGTCGGTGCGTAGCAAGCAGATCTCCTCCTCCCTGGACAAGGTCCACTCGCGCATCGAGCGGCCATGTTGCTCACCCAAGTATGGCTCACCTAAGCTCCAGAGGCGGTCTGTGTCCAAGTTGGACAGCACCAAGGACCGCAGCCTGTGGAACCTGCACCAGGGCAAGCAGAACGGCTCAGCCTGGGCCCGCTCCACCACCACGCGGGACAGCCCCGTGCTGCGGAACATCAACGATGGGCTGTCCAGCCTCTTCAGCGTGGTGGAGCACTCAGGGAGCACGGAGTCTGTCTGGAAACTGGGCATGTCCGAGGCCCGTGCCAAGCCGGAGCCTCCCAAGTATGGCCTTGTGCAGGAGTTCTTTCGAAATGTGTGTGGCCGGGCACCAAGCCCCACCTCGGCAGTAGGAGATGAGAACTCCAAGAAGCCAGATCCCCTCTCCCCAGCCAGCTACCATCAGCCAGAGGGCATGCCCAGGGTCCTGAACAAGAAAGCAGCCAAGGCAGGCAGTGGCGAGGAGGCCAGGGCCACCATGCTCCCTCAGGTGGGGAAGGATGGTGTTCCGCGGGATGCAGACGGAGCCTTGGTCCTTCCCAGTGAGGTGGGTAGGTGGGGATTGCTGTTTTTCCTGGGAGAAGGGATTGGCTTATTAGGTCCAAAGTTTTTTGGTTTTTAAACTTGAAGCATGTGATTTCACATCTTAAAAAGTTCTTATGATGGTCAGGGATGGGGATGGAAAGTCCCAGACTCTGAACAACACAAACCTGGAGGTCACATGATATGAATGCCAAGAGACCAGTGACTGTGGCTTAACTACCTGCTTTGTCATAGTTCACATAGTAGTGAACTCCAGGGGAGGGCGTGCCTGCTGCTCCAGTGGCGTGTTGAGCCTTTGAGAGCCAGTGTAACTCCCAGTATGTAACTCTGTGTTAGTAGTATTGCCTAGGTACCCAAGATTGTCTAAGGGGGAGGATTGACACTGTAAAAACTGGCAAAGGCTACAAATCAGAGTTCCTCCCCTCACTCCTGGAAATTCCTCCCTTCCCTTTTCTTCTCTCCTACTCCTGCCTTTTCTCAAGGTATAAGGGATTAAACCCAGAGTCTGCTGCATGCTAGACAAGCACTGTACCACTGAGCTACACTCCCAGCCCTCTTTATTTCGTTTTTAAGACACCAAAGTCTCACTCAGTCATTCAGGCTAGATTGAAACTTGGAATCTTCCTGCCTCAGCCTCCTGAGTAGCTGAGGTTACATGAATGGGCCATCATACTTAGCTGAAAACTGGTTATTATACATTAACCCGCCTGCCACTTTCCCCATTCCATCTCTATTTCCCAGCCAGGAATGGGGGCACAAGCCTATAATCCCAGCACTCTGGAAGGCTGTGGAGGAGGATTGCAAGTTTGAACCCAGCCTAGGCAACTTAGACCCTATCTCAAAATAAAAAATAAATTATAAAAAAGGGATGGGAGGGGGCTGGGGATTTAGCTCAGCGGCATAAGCACCTGCCTCGCAAGCAGGCAGTCGTGAGTTCGATCCCCAGTACCGATAAAAAGGAAAAAGCCCCCCCCCCCAAAAAAGGATGGGAATATAGTTCAAAGCAAAAGCCCTGGTTTGCATTCCTAGTACCATCAAAAATAAAAGACTTACGTTCACATTTTCTTTCTTTCTTTTTTTTTTTTATCATTACCAGGGATTGAACTCACGACCGCCTGCTTGCAAGGCAGGCCCTTATGCCGCTGAGCTAAATCCCCAGCCCCTTGTTCACATTTTCTTTTTTTTTTTTTTTTTTTTTTTTTGGTACCGGGGATCGAAATCACAACCTCACGCTTGCCAGGCAGGCACTTAAGCCATTGAGCTAAATCCCCAGTCCAAGTGCTCACATTTTCTCTAGACTTTTCTATTGCATACTCCCAATCCTGATACCAATTCTAATAAAGTTGGGATTATTTGAAAAGGAATAAAGTGAAGGAATGCATCTAAGAAATGCAGAAGGGGAAGGTAAACATCTCTGTAGGATGGAACCTAAGAACAGGAACCCAAAGGCCTTAGCAGTTTCTTCTTTTTCCTCTGAAACTTCATTTTTTCTTATATCTTCTTCCTCTTTGTCTCTCTCTGTTGCATTTGCATAAGGACTAGCTGGGTTGTTCCCACTCTGGTTTTGTAACATCTTCCACCTAAAGCACTGAAGAGGAACTGATTCAAATCCCTCCATCCCAGTTTCACATTTCTTTTTTAAATTTTTTTATTTATTTATTTTTATCAGTACCGGGATCGAATTCATGACCGCCTGCTTGCAAGGCAGGTGCTTATGCCGCTGAGCTAAATCCCCAGACCCCCAGTTTCACATTTCTGAGTGAAGGAAACTGATTAGTCCACCTTGGGTCCAACATACCCCTTGGTCCAGTCAGCGGGCAAGGCTAGTGCTACATGGTCTGCAGAGGACTTGATGTGGGCTGCAGGCAGGGACACAGACGTGAGGCGGCTGTGTGTGGGATGGGCTGTGCTGTATCCTTCCCTTCTATGGTATGTTTAGGTGGTTTCTAGTTTCTCTCTATTATAAAAAGTATAGTGGTACCATCTTGTTCTACAGTTTTAGACATTTCTGATTATTTCCTTAGGTTTTACAGAAATGGGATTATAGGATAAAGTAAATTTTTTGTTTGTTTGTTTTTGTTTTTTTTTTTTTCATTTTTATTGGTACCGGGGATTGAACTCAAAACCGCCTGCTTACAAGGCAGGTACTTATGCCGCTGAGCTAAATCCCCAGCCCCAAAGTAAATATTTTTAAAAAAGTATTAGATAAACGTTGTAAATTGTCTTTTTTTTTTTTTTTTTGTCTTTTTCATTTTTATCGGTACCAGGGATCGAACTCATGACTGCCTGCTTGCAAGGCAGGCGCTTATGCCGCTGAGCTAAATCCCCAGCCCCCGTAAATTGTCTTTTAAAGAATATGTCTGGGCTAGGGGTGCAGCTCAGTGGTAGAAAGCTTGTATAGCATTTGTGAGTCCTAAACTCTGGGAAAAAAACAAAACAAAACAAAATACAAGTGAATTAGGTAAATTATTTTCATTCAGTAGAATATTATAGAACCATTAAAAAGTAGATTCAACCATAGTTGAAAAAAATGTGTGTATGCTTTCCAGTTGCAAAATGGACTGTTGCAGATAGCATCATTTTGGTAAGTGTACATATGCAGTATGTTGTGAATAAGGAAAAATTAGTCCAGAAGCTGAGCACTCTGGAACCAGTCTGTGGGCAGCCCGAACTATGGGTAGTCCATGTGTGCCTCCGGGCTCCTGATTTTTTCCCTCTCTCCTCCTAGGATGCTGTCTGTGACTGTAACACGCAGTCTCTTACCTGCTTCGCCCGACCATCGCGCTCTGCCATCCGCCACTCTCCTTCCAAGTGCAGGCTGCACCCTTCTGAGTCTGGCTGGGGAGGGGAGGAGAGGGCAGTCCCCCCCAGCGAGTGACAGAATACTTGAGCCTCCTCCTCAACCTGCCAAGTCCCTGGATGGCAGGAGGGAACAGTGGAGAGGTGAGGGGCCGTGCTCTCAACAACGCAGCTCCCTGGAGGGACAGCAGCTGTGCCACTGCCAGCAAAGAGCTTTTGTATCAAGGTAAAGCAGGGTCTTGTGCTGACCCCTGGGTGGTGATCTCTGACTTCCCAGGTGAAGACGGTGAGTGGGAGAAAGACCGCAGCTGGCCTTGGAAACTTCGACAGAGAGCTCATCAGGACTGATGTCTGGGTCCTAGAGGAGACCTCTGTCTGCTTCCACCCTCACCTTCTTCTTGGAAGAGCCCATGAAGGGATACACTTTCAGCCATGCCTGTGGGGGGAAGCAGCTTACAGAGATGGTCCCAACTGACTGCACCCCTCCCCTGGAAAGATGTCACTGAGAAGAACGGGCTTTGCCTTTGGCCCCAACTTGGTGTTCTTGGCAGAGCAGGGCTGGGCATCACCACCATAGCCTCCACCACTGGGACTCTCAGGGGGTATGAGAGGGCAGTAGTCAGAGCCAAGTATCTCTTGGAACCCTGGAGCCCTGGATCTCCCTGCCTGCACCTGTATGCAGCCCAATCTTGGAGACAAGGTGGGATCTGTAGGGAATTGCCTCCCTTGCCAAGTGACTTAGGGAAACAACCTTCCCGGGAGACTCGGTGAAGCCAGCAATAGGTAGGCTCAATCTGAAGACGTGGTGCAGATAAAAGCTTATACGCCCATGCCTTGATTTTGGGGGCCTCTTTCCCTGGTGCCCTGAAGGGGCACTGCATCTCCACTGTGTTTACATCCTGCAGCTGGTGGAGAGCAGGGATACTCCCAGTACAAGACTCCCAGTTGGTCAGATCAGGCTACAAACGCCAAGAAGTCAGCGTCCCAGGACACAGTAGCAGACTGGGGCATAGAAACACATGTCTTACCTAGATTGTTTATTTGAAGTTTTCGTACTATAAATATTTAAGGTGGTTTATTTTAATAATTTAATTTACCCAAAAGCCCATAAGGTAATTTATTGGAAGTTAAAACATGAATTCTTGCCACCCGGACAGTGTGGGGTTTTTAGTTTCGTGGACATGTATGAGATCCCCCCATGTGGATAAAGCAGCTCAGCCATCCAGCTCTGGTCTGCTGGCCAGCTGGGGGAGCCCTTCTCACCCACTGACCATTCAGCCTCAGCGTACTCCTTTCACTCAATACCTGGTACTTGCCTGGCCTCCAGAGGTCTATGTAAATGTGCTTGACAGGGTGGCTGGCTGGACTGACGTCCCTACTCCCCAAACTCCTCCATTTTCCTTCTCATTTGCCGCTCCTCTGACACCTTTCTTAATGACTCAAACACAGATTACCACGGCTCCATCAAGAGCATGCAAATCCTTCCAAGTTCCCCAAGTGAGAACGTGCAGGATAGCAGGATGAACTTCGAGAATGTTGTTTATTGCAGCTTTGCACACGGATCTGAGCGTGTCTGCCTGCCCACCAGCCTCTTCACCAGCCTGTCTCCTTAGCCTTATAGCCCACGGCTCTTCTTCCAGCTCCAGCTCCATTGCCCGCCCTTTCCCACACCTGTGGGGACCACCAGTGCTGTCAGATGGATTGAAGTGTGGCTCACTGCAGTGCGGTGAGGAAGGCCTCACATCCTCCCCTGTAGTGCCAGTGAACCTGTTTTGGTTGCACATGTGTCCATCTCCCCTCTGCCAACACACAGATATTATGTGTTACCACTGCTGCCACTCCTGGGGACCAGTAGTCACATCCCAGGACAGATAGGCTTGTCTGCAGAGTTCCCCATCAGAAAGGCTGCAAGCCAGCAGCATTGCTAGTGTGTCCCCAGAAGATGACTTGCACTCCCAGCTCCCAGCTCCCAGTACACCCTCTCTGGGGCACCTGGACAATACCCAGAGTCCTTTGTCCTCATTCCCTATGGGAAGTACATCAGTCCTGCCAGCTGCTCCCTCATACCCTAGTGACTTGTGTGGGTAGAGTGGAGCTGTGGGCCAGTACCCCTCCACGACGCTGCCACCCAACCCGAGAAGTCAGGGGTCCCCTCCACATCTGTCTCCAGGTGAGGGGATTCACACCAGGCCACAAACCACAAGAGGCCTTCTGCCACCTCCCAGAGCTGCAGAAGGCCAGGGAGGCTGCACTCTCAGCCTTGGGGAAAATTCCCTATGAGATCCAAACCCAGAGGCCTATGGGCCACTCAGCCTTACCATCGTCTTCATCCGAGATCGTTATGCCATCTTTGTCGTCACAGCATCTGGCCCCAATGGGTATTGGAGAGTCCAGGTCTTGGTTTTCAGTGAAGTACCAGTTTTTCCTCCTTGCATGCTACTGTGCAAGGCTTCTTGTCACTGTTCCTGTAGAAGCCTCTGGATGTGGGGCTTGATGGGGTTTTCAAAATGTTCTATGTAAATATTGGTTTGGTTTCATTTTTTAGCATTTTACTTGGTAACTGGTTGTTTTATTTCTTGGGGTGGGAGGGTTGGTTTGTAAAAACTCTCTACTCTTTTGGAATGTGATTTCTAAGTTTGTTTTCTCAAATGCCTTTTACATCTTGGTAACATTCCCAAAGCAGAAACTGCCTGACCCACAGTGCGGACTCCTCTAGAGGATTGGGGGGTCCCGACACGGAATGCTGCCCTTCTTCCCCTTCCTACTCTTCTCTACCTTTTTATTCCAACACTTTCTACCTTCTCTCCTAATCTTCCTCTGTTTGTCCCATCTCTCTCTTCAACCAAAGTCCCAAGGAACCCTGGGGTCCCTGTGCCCTACAGACTGCCTGGCTTGGGTCCATGTGTTGGCATTAGTTGGTTGGGGGAAAAGAGGAACAACCTGCATGCTTAACCCCACACTAAATGATTTTACATTTTTTAAAGTCTGACCTCTTCCTAGTGCCAAATGAAACCCTCCTGGGTGCAGTGGTGACTGTATTTGAAATGAAAATCAACTTCAGTGCATCAGTGACTCTAAGGCCTAGACGCACAAAGCATCAGAATCCAATTCTGTCCCCTGCCCATTTCCCCCTTTCTCCTGGTCCTTTTGCCAACAAAGGCAGACCTGCAAGAGGTCCTGTGCTTTAGAAACTCAAAATGGACCCCATCCCTTGGCCTCCCTTGGGATGTGTTCTACCCTTGGTCTCCAGGTCACCAAGCTGAGGGCTCAAAGACTTGACCCTAATCTTGTACGTCGATGCCGATCCAATACAGCTCCATTCTACAGCTCCATTCCTACACACCTTTCATGGATTTATCCTCTGGCTTCTCCTCTTGCTCATGTAACATCCAGACTTTTCCTCCCTCGCTCCACCCATCCCTTCACCCATGGTGTTCCGCCCTCCATCTTTGTCAGTCCCCAAATTCCCACTACCTCTTCTTTAATAATTATAATAATGGGGGTTGGGGATTTAGCTCAGCGGCATAAGCGCCTGCCTTGCAAGCAGGCAGTCATGAGTTTGATCCCTGGTACTGATAAAAACAAAAAAGACAAAAAAAAAATAATTATAATAATGAGAGCTGGGCGTGGTGGCTCATGCCTGTAATCCCGGCACTCGGGAGGCTGAGGCAGGAGCATTGTTGGGAGTTCGAGACCAGCCTGGGCCACAAAGTGAGCTCAAGACCAGCCTGAACTGCATAGTGAGACCCTGTCTCAAAAAGGCAAAAAAAAAAAAAAAAATTATAATCATGATAATAATCCCCTTTCCATGGGCTGGGGATATAGCTCAGCAGCACAGCGTTTGCTTGGCAAGTGCAAGGTCATGGTTTGATTCCTGGTACCAAAAAAGCCCGTCAATACATCCTGCCCCAAGCACTTTACTATTTAGAGATCACTTCCCCATCTCCCCTCCCTTCACATCTCCCAAGGACAATTCTAGGAAGCAACCTTGGTGGGACAGGGCCATTCTGTCCATTCTTCCATTCTGTCTCCAGGACCTCTGCACTGAGCTACATCGCCATGCCTTTTTCGTTTTTTATTTTGAGACAGTCATTTAGTTGCCCAGACTGGGCTTAAACTTGTGATTCTCCTGCCTCAGCTCCCAGAGTGCTGGGATCACAGGTATGCACCACCACACTAGGCTGTGCATTGCTATCTCCTTAAACAGAGCCCTGTGTCCCTCAACCAAGCTTGGTTTTGATCTAAGAATTTCCAGGAATCATCAAAGGCAATTTGCAATTTAGTCATCATGTTTAATAATACAAGAAGTAGAAAACAACAAAAAGCAAGGTGATGATGATAATGATTCAAATCTACCTAATTTAATTCCAATAGTTGTGCAATTAAATTCGACTCTTTTTTTTTTTTTTTTTTTTTTTTTGATACCACGGATCAAACTCACAACCTAGTGCTTGCCAGGTGAGCGCTTATGCCACTGAGCTAAATCCCTGGCCCTAAATTTCACTGTTAACTGGACAAGCTAACTACTCAGGAGGCTGAGGCAGCAAGATCACAAAATTGAACCCAGCTTGGGCAATTTAGTGAGACCTTGCCTCAAAAAAATAAGAAAGGCTAGGGATATAGCTCAGTGGTAGAGGACTCCTGGGTTTAATCTACAGTATTAAAAACAATTTTTGCTTTCCCCTTTTGTTTCCTAGTAGCCAGGTGGGTGAGGGATTGGGATTTTATAACTTTCATTATCCAATCATGGGAAGTGGAATGCTATATCTTTTTTTTGAATCATGACCATGCATTTGCGAGATAGGCACTTACGCCGTCGCCGCTGAGCTAAATCCCCAGACCATGCTATAGCTTTTTTCTTGTGTTTCCAGCTTTGGGGGTGGGGAGTATCAAGAATTGAAACCAGGCCTTCACACTGAGCTCTATCACAATCTTTTTTTATTTTGCTAAATTACCCAGTTTTTAGCAGTCTTCCTGTCTTAGCCTCCCAGAGTATCAAGATTACAGGTACATGCCAGCATGCCCTGCCCTGCCTGCCTCCTCTTAGCTGGTTCCTGCCAGCAGATGGGCCATCCTCTTGTGGGCCCCAGGCTTAGTGTAGGAGCGAGCCTCAGCCCTCCCACGGCAGCCTCCCCCTAGCACTGCCCCTCCTGTGAATTTTCCTACACCAGCAACATGTCCCTCCCTCCCACACTCACATTCAGGGAACTGTCCCTGGTTTGTGGCATCCTGGCTTCCCCGTGTATTTATTTTGTGTTTTCTCAACCAGAGGGGTCCATTTCTTGGATGTATCAGGCAACCCAGCCTTGCCAGTCCTTCCCATCTGGTTCACACCTCTCTAGTACCTTCCAGTGCTGAAAGACCTCCCTCAGTCCCACCCTTGAGCCATGTCCTCTTTTCTATCCCACAGCCTCCAAATAGCGGCCCTAGCACCTCCCACTGGGGAGAGTTTGGTGGACTTAAATTTAGATTCAGCCTCCTCTGTCTTCCCCAGCCCTGCAAAGCAGGGGCAGCCTGACATGGATTCTCTGGTCACTTGTCCCACCCTCTGAGCATCATTTCTGTCTTCCTCAGACCTCACCTTCCAACCCAACAAAACTTGTAATTTGCATAATCCTGAACCCAGCATCCACAGGGATGGAAGACAGTTCTGGGCCTGAATCCCTCCTCAGGTCTCCTCTACCACATGTCCTGCCCACTCCATCCTCACCCTCCAGAGACCCTTCTCTTCCCCTCATCAATCCCACTGGTCCTGCTTCTCTCCCTTCTCACCCTGCACCAGCTCTCTGGACACCAGGCCCCAACCGAAGGGGCTTTGATTTCCTCTGAATGTCCTCGATGGGCTAGGCAGTCAGGGACAGACTGACTACCTTGTCACACTCCATTCTGAAGCCACTCCTGGGAAAAGCGACCTCAACCAGCAGTCTGGCCCTATTCTTGGCTGACCTCATCTCTGGCTCCCCCAGTTTTATGTTCCTCTGAGGCGTACCAGGATGACCCTTTGGGCCCCAGAGCACCCCTCATGTTTTGGGGTCCTACAGTCCCATCTTTTCTCTACTAGGCCCTGGTATCCTGGTTCTTCTCTCAGCTGTGCCACTGTTCTCTGTGCCTTAGTTTACTTCTCCGCACAGGGGGGCGCTCACAAGACCGTTCCCAGTAGCTTTTTAGATCCTTTGGTGCCTATAAGGCTGGTTATTACCAGCATGGCTCTGGCTAGTTGAACCAGTTGCTGAGGATGAGGATGAGGTGACTTAGGGACACCATCCAGACCAGTAGTTTTCAGATTGTGTCCCAGCAGCAGAAGCAGGGAACCTGACAGAAGTACAAATACCAGCCCCACCTAAGACCCACTGGATTAGAACTTCTGGAGCAGGGCCCAGCAAGCTAGGGTTTGAAGGAGCCCTCCGGGTCACTCTGATATACACAGTTTTGCCAGCTGGATACCTCCCAGGGTACCCTTGGGAGGGGCCAGGGCTGGGTCAAGCCAAGAACAGTGGAAAACACTTCATCTGGACTTGAGAGATTGCAGACCCCTCCCAAACAAAACAGCGTCTCATGTCTCATCGTCCTGGATGCCAGAGAGCACCGGTTTCCCTTTTTTGCCCCCTGGTTGAGTTCCAGCTCCACTCAGCTTTCCTGCCTGTCCGGGTTTCCCGCAAGGCTGTGTGGGTGTTGGCAGCAGGTAAGGGTGGGAGTCCTGGGGAGGCAGAGCACCCTGTTTATCCCCGGGGAACCTCAAGAACCCTAAATCTTCTTGTGCTCCCTTTCCTTTTCCTTTCCTTCCTCTTCCTTCTCCCTAGCCCAGGGAGAACTTGTAGACAGTGCCAAAAGACAGCTGCAGCGCCCAGCTCTGGGGAAGAGAGCCAGACGCCCCTCCCGCCTTCCCCCTCCCTTCTTCACCACCCAGCCCCTCCCGCCAATACTGTGAAGGCCCCTTCCTGCCCAGCCTGGTCTCCTGGTGAAGGTCCTGTAGTCATGGGCCTGGGGGACCCCAGGGAAAGGCCCTTGGGAGGAAAGGGACCAAAGGCATCCTTGGGCCAACTGTCCCCTCTTCTTTATACCACTTGCTCCTCCTCACTTCTGTCTTCAAAAGGCTCCTTCCCAGGATGGATTGGGTGCTAGGACTACTGCAGTCCAATCCACCAGCTCTCTCTGCCCGTGTCTTATCTTGACATGAGAATAACTGTACAGTGTAAACCTACAAAGCGTTTTTAATGGTTGTAGATTGGAAATAAAGTATGTCATATGAACAGTTGCCGTGGAGTTGGCCTCGTCTCTGATTTCTCTAGTACACCTGAGACTTGACACCACTACACCTGCTGTTGCGTGGGAAGAGGAGACTGCCACAGCCAGCTGGCAGGTTTGGGGTCACTTGGCAGCAACTCCCAGGTGCTTTGGCTACTGACTACTTGTAACTCAGTGTCTCCCACAAAGTATGTTATGACCACTGAGAAACAAAATAGAGCATTAAGAAAAAAACATAAAACTTTTCTACAAAAGGCAATTCATTATGGAAAAACAAGACAGTTGACATTTCATAGTAAATTAACTATATCACAACATTTATCCCACAGGTCAGGAATTCAGGAGTTGGATAGTTCTGATTCAGTCTCAGAAAGTTGTAGTTAGACATTAGTTAGGCTGCAGTGTGTGTTTGTTATGAGATAGGGCCTCTGTGTAATTTAGACCAGCAAGTCTGTGTTCTCAGATGGCTGCTGGATCCACCAGGCTGGACCACAGGTTGGAAATTTCAGGAAGGGACTTAGTTATCTTTTACCAGAAAACTTTCCCAGTGACCACAGCTGCTATGGAAGGACTACAGTCATGCTCCTGTTGCCTTTCATCTGCTCCTCTTTTGGACTTTGTGGAATGCTCTTAATTTACCATCTGCAGGTTTCAGGTCTGGGAAAAAAAAAAAAAGACTGCAGATGTGGTAGCATATGCCTGTAACCCCAACATTCTGGGAGGCTGAGGCAGGAAGATTGTAAGTTTGAGTCCAGCCTTTTAGTAAAAGCCTCTCTCAAAGTTTAAAAAAAGTTTTTTTTAAAGAGCTGGGGATGTATTTCGGAGTTAAGGTTTGGGTTCAATCTTTTAGTACAATAATAAAGTAAATAAATAGGTCTGGGGATGTAGCTTAGCAGTAGAGCATCTGTCTAGCATATTCAAGGTGCTGGGTTCAGCCCCCAGCACTGAGACAACTAGGTTTGCCCTCAGTCTTTCTGGGTTAACAGACTAACAGACATACTGGAAAAGTGGTAGTTAAAAAGGGGACATCTTCAAGCCTATGAAATTCAGAGACACATCCTGAGACAGGAGGATGTAAAGCATACTCAGTCTTTAAAGGTTATGTATTCTGCAGAGATACCAAGAAGCGGTGGGGGGGGGGATCCACGGATGGCTGGGATCAGAGACCCCTGCTGTGGATTCCAATCTCCTGCCTGCAGTTTCGGCACATGGCAGAGCAAGAAAAAGCAAGAGACAAAATAGGAGTGCCGCAGGGATTTGGGATGATTAGTTGTTCATGGGGAACAGAAAGCTATGAGACACCGGGAACCTTGTATTTATTTATTGAGGAAAATTGTGAGGGGTTTTGGCTGGATGTGTTAGTGGCGAGGTTGGCGAGGTTGGCGAGGCTTATAACAGAGGGAACAAAGCATTCTTAGCTTATGGTTAATGAGTGACCTGCTTTGTAGCCAATTGTGGGAATGAATTCCCCTCTAGTGACGGCAGGCCTCAGCAGAGACATTATCTCCTATTTTAGTCCTACAGTATCACAGCTCATCTATCTGAGCTTAACCATGGGCATTGATGATAAATGATGCTAGCTATCATCAGCCTCCTAATTTCATGAAAATTTGTACATTGTCTTGACCAAACTCACTAATTAAACTGAAAGGCAATTTAGGGAAGTCACCTCAATATAGGCTGCACTACTTTCAAGTTAGCACAATCACGCTTGAGTCTGGGTAGAGAAACATGGCGTCTTCCACAGGCCCAGTGTGCTGGCACACACCTATAAGAGGCTGAGGTGAGGGGATCACTGCAAGTTCAACTGCATAGTGAGTTCAAGGCCAGCCTGATCTACATAGCAAGACTCTGTCAAAAAACAAGAAAATCCATAAGAATAAAAATCTTGTTCCTGTGTTAAGATGGTTCTGATTCTTCTGAAAGAAAGCACAGTAAGAACGCATAGTAAGAGCTGATAATACTATGGAAAGATAGAGGTGGAAGGAGAGGAGAGGGAGGGAGAGAAATACAGAGACAGAAGAGGCCATACGAGCTGATACCTGCCTGTAATCACCGTACTTGGGAGGCTGAGGCAAGAAGATCCTCATGAGTTTGAGATCAGCCTCTGCTAAATAGTGACTTCAGATCAGCCTGGACTACATAGCAAGACCCATAAACAAAACAACAAAAACAAAAAAAAAGGGCGGCGTTCATTCAGGGATGTGTGTATATATACATGTGTGTTACTGAGATTGAACCCAAGGCCTTCACTCTGAACTAGGTACATCTCCAACCTTTTTTTTTTTTTTTTTTTTTTTTTTTACAATTTTTTGAAAAATGTTCTTGATAGGGGCTGGGGATTTAGCTCAGCAGCATAAGCACCTGTTTTGCAAGCAGGCGGTCGTGAGTTCGATCCCCATTACTGGGGAAAAAAAAAAAGGAAAATGTTCTTGCTAAGTTGCCCAACCTGGGCTCAAGTCCACAATCTTATTGCCTCAGTCTCCCAAAGTGCTGATGTTGTCAGGTAGTTCCTTTAGAAATGGCTCACCAATTAAAAGTATTCCAGGTCCTTCTGCCTCCATCAAAGAATTAGATGAGACAAGCCAAAAAAAAAACGGTGCCAAGAGTTTATGTAAAAAGTGAGGGGATGGGCTAGGGATTTAGCTCAGGGGCATAAGTGCCTGCCTAGCAAGCTCCAGGTCATGAGTTTCATCCCAGGGAACCAAAAAAAGAGAAAAAAAAAAAAAAAAAGCGAGAGGTGCAGTGGTATGGGAAAAACTGGCTCTGCAGAGCAAATCTGGGCCAAGTGTAAGTGGACAGGATAAAAGCAAAAATAAAAGTTCGCTCTGCATGGGGTACCACGAGTCACAATAGCAGATTCCCAGCAGTGTTTGTGTCCTCATATATCATCCACATCTCATGGGAACCTTGGGCAAATTCCGCGCAAGTGTCCTGGCAATTATTTGGTGCTGTACTGGAATCTTGTAATTGACAAGTCCCATTTATTTTCCTAGCCATCCTTGCCGACATTCTATGTCCTATATCACTGAGATCACAGGCATGGTACTATGCCCAATATAAGGGTACATTTTGATGGCACGATGCTGGGTGCTAAAGAAGCAGCCTGCTTTCTGGGCCCTCCCAGGCCAGGGATAGTGGAGCAGGCACGTGCTGCACTCCTAGGAGCACAGGAGGGATATTTGGTTTTCAGCAAGGGGCCACAGAGAAGGCTTTGAAACTTGAACTTGGGGAATTTTGCTAGGAAGGCTTCCCTAGTAAAAAGCATGGCTTGGAAAGTGAGCGAAAGGAAAGAAACAAGGCGAGGTGAGCAGGGCTGCAAGCATTTTGGGAGGGTGGACTCTGTGTGACAACACTGGGAAGGAGCATTCCAGAACTTTGTCACACACTGAGGAGTCACAGAAGGAGCCCCTGGAGCAGAAGTGCGATAAAATGCAGCTTGGAGTTCTAATTTATCTTAGAGTCATGGCCCACTCTTTAGGAGATAAGGAGATAAAAGGAGGTGGGACCAAGGCCTGGTAACCAGAGCAAAGCATCCCCATGCCCTCCGATGCACTATATTCTTCCACAAGCATCTCTCCGAATTTCCAACAGATATGAGCACAGATGCTTGTGGGGGGAGCAGAGTTACACACCACAGAATGCAGTGCCACGAGGCTGACTCCTCGCATTGGGTGTGGCCGATGAGGGTTTGACGCGGCCGCGGGGATTCCCCAGGAAAGATTACGAAAAGAGCAACAGAGGGCCAGAGCGCCAAAAAGCGGTTTACGCATGCGCCTAATTAGAAGTATGCGTTGTGCGCGCGCGCGCGCACCAAAAGCCGCTAGGGATACGCATGCGCTATTGGTTGGCGGGAGTTTTGCAAATGGCGGCGTTTATGTGTACTGTGCAGCGCGCACTAGGCTGAGTCCTGAAAGGCCCCCTAAGTCCGCAGGAGCTGCAGGAGTGACCTGGGACTTTGTTTCTGGAACAGAGGCTCTGGGCTGAACCGGCGTCGCTCTGAGGTCAGGACGTTGTGCACTCGCAGGATGCGGTTCCGCTCCTCCCCTTGACTGTCTCTTGGCCCAGTCCAATCCACCAAATCCGCTGCTCCATACTGCGGGCCTTCGGGGCCAGGTAGAGGTGGGAATGTCCAGCGATCTTCTCCCGGGGTGGAAAGGAACGTGAGTTGAGCTAAACCTTCCGTTTGGGCAGAAGTAGCAGCCTAGAGTCCTGAAAATGGGTGTGTGGGACGGCGGCCTGGAATGGAGTTTCTCTCCCCTCTGAATCTCAGGCCCTTTTTTCAAAGTGGAATGTGTAATATAATGCTTAAAGTTGTAAAAAAGATGAAATGGAATAAGGATGTGAACACGCTTAAATGGCGCAGATCCTGGGAAATAAGCGCTTAAATGGCAATTTTGGAGTTATTATCCACGCTTAAATCTATGTTATAGTCATAAGGATTGTGGAAATTTATATCCTTGAAGGACCTTCTTTGTTCTTTTACCTTTCTATGCTATCCCCAAACATCTATTCATTTCTCCTTGTTAAGCACCCTCACATGTTGATGTCATCTGGGAGGGGGAGATAGTATGGAAGATGAAGATGGGTTGGTTGTGTCCCCACCCTCTTCGAAGTAGTTATCTGACAGCCCTGGGAATACAAATGCAGTTGGCATGGGAGAGGAATATGTAAACAGATTTTACAGCTAGTACTAGGGTGTGCAAGGGGTGTGACTTGAACTAGGTTAGGGACGATGCAATATTTCACAGGTAGAAGGACAGATAGGAACAAAGGTTCAAAAGTAGTGCAGAAAATTTATGAGTATTAGGAGAGAGAGAGAGAGCGCACCTGAATTGATAGGCCGATACTCCCTCATGAAGGTATTGGATACACTTTGGAAACATCTCTGCAGCCATCTAGAGAATGGCTTGGACTGGAGCAGTGTTGGATATAGAAAAACCAGCAGAGGGACCAGGAGAGAGCAAAAATTATGAAACATGAACTTGAAGAAAGATTGAGAGAGATTTCGTAGAAAGGATTTTGGATTGGAAGAGGTAAACATAAGAAATTAAGGATAATATGGTTTTTCTAGTATAGAAAATCAAATCTTTCCTAATGCCATTAATTGCATTAGAGAATAAAGGAATAGTTAAGTACAAAATAATTGAGAGAGAGGGTATGTGTTAAGGGAGATACGAATATTTCCAGTAGTGAGTACTATGGAAATTCAAAATGGGCGACAGTGACTCCTGCTATAGTTTTTGTGGAGAGGGAGAGGGAGCAATTTAGAGAGGCCAGAAAGCCCAGAGGCTGTTTTGGGAAAGTTATACCCCAGTGAGGCTAGAGCTGGTAGGGAAGAATAGATCACTTTATTTTCCTATTTTCAGGGTTCTCTACCCAGCATGACGTCCATCACTACAGAGTCTGTAGAAAGTGAGTATTACAGTGAAATTCAGTTTGTCTTGTCTTGAGTTCAGTGTTATGAGCTGCAACTAAATAATTTTCTGGCTTCCAGTGGATCTGAAATGACAAAGCCATGTATTTCTAGACATGCTTTCTTGGTGTTTCTTCTTTCCTATTCTCCTTTCCTTTCTTTCCATGGGCTCTTGCTCTCTGTGTTGCACAGGCTGGCCTCATATTCCTGGGTTCGATCCATCCTTCTGTCTCAGGCTCCCAAGAAGCTGAGACTACGGGTGCATGCCACTTCATGAGGACATCACTTTTTCTTCACTTTTGGTAGTACTGTGGATTGAACCTAGGGCCTCACAAGTATTACGCAAGTGCTGTATCACTGAGCTACATTCCCTGTCCTTTTTCTATCTTTTACATAGTTGTGGGTTTGATTTTGTACTTTGACTTCTTTTGTAACAAATGCTAGAAGAAGCATCAGTGACGTCTCAGACTCATGCTCATCAGGCGCAATCAAGTCTCTACCCTGTGGAAGTGTTTCCTAAATCATCTGCCTCCTTGGAGGTTACTCAAGGCATTTCAAAGGAAAAAATTCATCTTGCCACTACCCCTGAAAGAGGAGGATGTTGTGATATCAGCCACCAAGAAGGACTTCAGTCCAGGTCCCTTTATTTGTCCCCTCAAGATTATTCTGTCTGTCATCAAGACAGGAGGCAGTCCTGGCGGCGAGCAAGTATGAAAGAAGTGAACCGACGGAAATCACTGCCACCTTTTCATCAGGGCATCACAGGTGGGGTACTGTGTACATAAAACAGGTTCCAGCTTACATGTTAGAGCAGTGGGGAATGACAGAAAGGATAGTGAAATAAGTATGATTGTGCTGTCTTGTGTATGTGACTTTGAGCAGATCTCTTCACCTATTGGAGCCTGTTTCTTTACCTGTAAAATAGAGATAGTATTACCAACCATGTAGAGGTATTCTGCATTTATACATTCTATCACAAACCCAGTAAGTGTTTAGTGTTATTTCTGTTACATCATATTAGCACTGTGAAAAGAAATTCTGATTGCTAATCGTTCAACACTCAACCCAAGTAGTATAATGGGAATTAAAGAATCCCTTCTGTGACTTTGAACAAGGAAGAACAGAAATTGGATGGGTTAATAGTTGATTTTAGCCTTTGGCTTTGTGTATGTGTGTGTGCTCACACGCAGACGCACCGCACACGCGTGATAATAGTAAAGTCTTTATAAACTGGAAATAGGAAAGTTGCGCATAAAAATATCTAGAGTGAAGGTGTTGCTAAGTGATGGAGTGTGTGTTTATACGTGTGAGGCCCTACATTCAATCTCAACATCCAAAAAAGCCTAGAATAAAAATGTAGGTTTTGTTTTGTCTTTTTGTAGTATTGGGAGTTAAACCCCAGACCTTCATAATAAACTATATCACTGGCCTTATGTTTTATTTTAATTTTACTTTTATTTTTGAGACAGTGTCTCACTGAGTCATTTAGTTGTCCAGGGTAGGCTCAAACTTGTGATCCTCTTGTTTCAGACTCCTAGAGTACTAGGATATAGATGTGTGTCATCACACCTGGCTGAAAATACAGTTTCTCATCATATTGTCTCACTAGTGTGAGAAGCTAAACGAAACGTGTGTGTGTGTGTGTGTGTGTGTGTGTGTGTGTGTGTGTGTATAAACTAGTTAACATCGTTATCCTACTGATTTCTCTGAGTTCACTGCTGAGAAAGATTTGTGCTGGTGCTGTTCAGATGATTGAATGCAGCTGTCTAGGTGAATGATTTGGGGAGAGCAATATGAAATGTCATTGTTGCCCCCTGATTGATGTGTTTTGAAATTTGTTATAGTTTTTTCTTTTTTTTTTTCTCTTTGAAATAAAATGGATTTGAAAAAAAATGCAGTTTCTAGGAAACTGTTACATGTTACATTAAATCCTTGTTTTGTTAAATAAGATAGATTAAAATCTAATCATATTCCTAGGAAATGCAGTTCTAATCATATTTAAACATGATTTTTAAAAAAATTTTTTTGAGATAGGATCTTGCTAATTAGTTTATGGTAGTCTTGAATTCATGACATGCACTTCTATGTCTGGTCCTTGATTTGCATGATTTTGTGTGGATTTATACACATAAGGATATAATGTGGAAATTCTGTGTGATTCTCAGCATACTTAACTGGATACTTAACTGGAAGTAAAGAATACCTGTTTTAATAGGGTTGGGTGAGGATTAAATGAGTTGATGTGTAATACTATATGGATATAATTAGGACATAGTAAATCCTCAAATGTTAAGTTATTGTGACTACTTTGAAGGTGTTACTATATTTTCAGGTGTTCTGATATGTAGAAAGTAATCTGGATAAAACCATCTACTTAGCATATCAGAAAATTTCTGCCACAGTGCTCATGCACTTAACTCTGTAGATCTGCCAAGAAATCAGTAGTAGTGCCCCAAGATTAGTTAGGCCTACCTTCATCGCTATTCCAGAGCATATTTTATAACAGAAATCACCAGTGCAATAAAATGGATTATTTTTGCTATATATGATACAACATGCCTGTAATCCCAGTATTTAGGAGGCTGAGTCAGGAGGGTCACTGAGATTAAAACTAGCCTGGGCTACATAGTGAGTTCAAGGCCAACCTTGAACTCTTACATAGCAAGATCTTGTCTCAAAAAGAAAAGATTGGTTATTTCCTTGTTATTCCTGGCCACTTACCAAGTGTTCTTGGTTATTAGCAGACAGAATTGTGTTTTTCTTGACTGAGAGAAAGAATTAATGAAGAGAGGAGACTAGAACTTTTAGAAACACAGCCAGTAGAAGCTGGAGATCAAAAAGAGAGATAGCTCTAATAATTCTAAAAGCAAACCTCCTTTGCTGTATAATAATAATTGTTTTTAAATAGACATAATTAAAAAACAATATCTACATCTTGTTGTTTGAGGAGTTATTGACAAGATTATATTATATAAAACGCTCACCTAGTTCAGCCTTGTAGTTTAATGAATGATTTTAAGTAAGTGATCTGTTGCCCAGCCTTTGCTTCTCAGTGTTATGTCATCAAATGGAATTGATATGATACGTGCCTCAGTATAATGGAATGTGTTTAGAATTTAAGAAAATGCCTTTTATAGAGCAAGTGGTTTACCTTTGTTAATTAGGTTACTAGAGAGAGGCAGTAACACTGGGAAAAACACTGATCTTGGTGGCAGATTTGGGTTTGAATCGTGACTTCTCCAGTCTCTGGCTTCAAAAAAGTCATTTCTGAGGCTGGGGATTTAGCTCAGCGGCATAAGCGCCTGCCTTGTAAGCAGGCAATCGTGAGTTCGATCCCTGGTACCAATGAAAAAGGAAAAAGACAAAAAAAAAAAAAAAAGTCATTTCTTCTTTGTTTGTTTTCCCATTTGTAACAGAAGCTTAATAGAATTTTTAAAAACCTCTTAAGACTGTGTTTTAAAAGTATACTGCAGTACCCTCAAAAATTCTCAAAGGTGAGCCGAGAATTTAGCTCAACAGTTCAAACACCTGCCCAGTAAGTTTGAGGTCTGAGTTCAATCCCTGGTACCAAAAATACAGAAAAAACAAAAACCCTCAAAGTTTCTTAGCTCCTTTCTTTAGTAAATAATTACAAAAACAATCGAATCATTTTTAATCTACTTTTGTTTAACAAAACAAGGATTTAATGTAACGTAAAAAAGATTCTCATAGTGTTACATTTAGTTGTGCAAATAAGTAAACATTCCTTGGTGGGCTTGGGAAAATTTGAATGTTCCCTTTGGTTAGAAAAGGCTTTTTCAAAAGGGGATTTAGCTCAGAAGCACAGCCCCTGCCTGACAGGAATGAGGTTGTGAGTTTGATCCCCAGTACCAAAAAAAAAAAAAAAAAGAATGGGCCAGGGATTTAGCTCAGTGGTATAACCACCAGCCTGCAAGCATGAGGCCATGAGTTTGATCCCCTGCCAAAAAAAAAATGGGGGCTGTTTCTTGCCTTAAGTTGGATTGTATCAATAGAGAAAATGTTTCAGTTTTATTACTTTGCTGGGTAGATAAGCAGCTCCTTAAATGTGGCAATGTTGCTTAAATGTGTTAGAGCTCAGCAGGTCCATCAGTGTCGACTTAGCAGAAAGCAAGCGGCTTGGAGCTCTCCTGCTTTCCAGTTTCCAGGTGAGATTCTCAAGATTGGAAAATGCTTTCATTTTGATTGGTTGATATTTTTATTTTAATGTGGCAGATTTAGATGAACTCATTAAAAAATGTTTCTTGCTTGGGAGGTACATGCCTGCAGGAGGGTCACTGTAAGTTTGAGGCCAGCCTGGGCTACATAGTGAGCCCTCATCTCAAAAAAAGAGTTTCTTTCAGGTTGTGATTAATTTGAAGTTAGATTTAATCTGAGTAATGAGTTCTTTTCACCCCAACCCCAGTGTTGCTGCTGTTGCTGAGTGGCGAGTATTTCCCCAGTATATATTATTTTTGCTCATTTATTGCAGGTGATGGGAACTTAAAATGAGTAAAGGCAAAAAATTCTAAGTTACTGCATTATAGATAAGTATTTGAGTTCTGATTATAGGTCAACCCAATATATGATTCATACTATACAGTTTTTCTTAAAGTTATATTGCTTACTGTGTAGTTAACTGTGCTTTTGGCAGTTTAAACAAGCTAGTAATTTCTGTGAATTAAATGGCCATTTTTTTTCCTCAGTTGAAAAATCAAAATGTGTGGTCTGAGCAACAAGGAGTTTTTTTTTTCCTGACTTAGTTATTTGTTTATATGAGAAGTTTTAGGTGACCTTAGGCATGGTAGCACATGCCTAGAATCCCACCACTTAAGAGGCTGAGGCAGGTGGATCGTGAGATTGAGGTCTTTCTTGACTACATAGCAAGTTCAAAGCCAGTGTGGACAACATCATGAGACCCTGTGCCAAACAGAAACAAAAAAGTCATAGGAAAAAAAATTAAATCGTTTAGTTTCACTGTTTGAGCTCATCCCTAGGCTTTTTATTATTTATTTTGAGACAGGGTCTCACTAAATTGTTTAGAATGACCTGAATTTAGAATCCTGTCTCTACCACTCAAACTGCTAGGATTATGGGCACGTACCAGGCTTAGTTTAATTTTACATTTATTAGATACAAAATTTCATGAATTTAGGACTGGCTTGGAACATTTTGGTGGTTGTACTAAAAATGCATTTTTTTTTTTTTTTTTTTTTTTTTAAATTTAGTTCTCAGTTCAGAAACTTGAACCTTTCCTAAAGAACACTCAGGGCTTCAGTCTTGAAGGTTTTAGAGCAAAAGGTAAGTTGCTAAGGATAGACATGTGAGCTTTAGTTCTGACTTATACCCTCTTTCAGGTTCATCAAAGCCTCATTTTCAGGGTCAACATTTACAGGAGCTGCTGTCTCATAAAACTAACCCCCTCTTTTTTAAGAACTATAAGAACTGGACATGTTTTGAAATTTTGGAGGTTTTTTTCTTCTTTCTTGAAATAAAATGGATTTTAAAAAATATATTTAAGAACTGGGACGGTGCCTGTAATTATAGTACTTGGGAGGCTGATATGTGCATATCTATGTGTGTGTATGAAACTCAGAAGGTATAAAAGTGAAAAATAGTCCTTCTGTCCCAACTTACAGTCTTGGCAGTAAACACCAATTCCCAGAGGCAACTACAGGCACCAATTTCTTGCATATCCTTGCAAAGATATTTATTGCTTTTCTAAATTATGAGTACATACTCTGTGAACTGTTTTATATCTTCACTTCCACCAGCTTTTGCTGCAGGATCTCAGGCATGTCAGGCAGTTGTACTACTGAGGTGTACCTTTGGTCCAATCTTGGCTTTTGGCTTTTTCTTCTGGACCTAGTATATCTTCCACATTGTTTCATGTTACACACAGGGAGCTACCTTGACATTTTGGTAGCTGTCATATTCTGTTTTATAAATGAACCATGTTTGATTTGATTAATTCTTTCCTGATGGACTTAGTTTCTTTTGTTTTGCCTTTTGCTATTATAATGAATAGTGTAATGAATGTGGAGATATGTGTGTGTGTGTGTATACATACATACATATATATATATATATATATATTTTTTTTTTTTTTTTTTTTTTTTTTTTTCTTAAAGATAGGGTCTTGCTATATAGTTTAGTTTGGCCTGGTAGGTCTCCTGCCTCAGTGTCCTGAATGCTGGCATTTTAGGCATGAGCCACCATGTTCACGTCTAAAGTACTTTTTTTATTCTTTTTTTAACATATCTTTTTTGGTATATATATATATATACAAGTAAAAGTAGAATTAACTAGCTCAAATAAAATTATAGGAATTGATTGATCCTAAGAGAATCAGCTTATTCTCTCACCAGCAATTTGTGTAACTACCTATTTTATTACAATCTCAGCAACACATTTCATTAAAGTTTGAGAAATAGTGGCATTAGAACTTTTCTGAATTTCTTGTAGAATTCAGGAGTGAATTCATCAGGACCTCGGCTTTTCTTCTTTGTTCATTTTTTAATTCTTCGGTTTCATTGACTGATACTGGGTTCTTTAGAATTTTTTGTATTTTTTTATTTGGCTTTGGTAATTCATATATATCTACAAATCTGTCCACTTCTGCATTTTCCATTTTATTAAAGTAACCAGACATGGCAGCATATGCCTGTAATTCCAGCACTTGGGAAGCTGAGGCAAAAGCATTGTTGGGAATTCAAGACCAGCCTGGGCTACAAAGTGAGCTCAAGGCCAGCCTAAACTGCATAGTGAGAACTTGCCTCAAAAAAAAAAAAAAATAAATAAATAAAGTACAGATTCTTAGGCTGGGGATATAGCTCAGTAATATACCACCTGCCTGGCAAGCATGAGGTCATGAGTTTGAGCTCTGGTACCCCCTCCTCCCCCCAAAAAATGAATGAATAAATAAATGTAGGTTCTTTTCTTCAAATTTTTTTTTTTTAAAGTTTAGGTTCTTGAAGTAGGTTTGATTTTCTGGGTTTCTGCAGTATCCGCTGTGATTTCACCCTTTTCATCTCTATTGTAGATCTGAGTCTTTTCTTTCCTTTTTTTTTTTTTGATAAACTTGGCTAAAGATTTGTCTTATTCAGCCTTCCAGTGAACCAACTCTTTGATTCACTGATTCTTTGTATTATTTTCTTAGTCTCACCTGCATTAATTTCTGCTCTGATCTTTGTTATTTCCTTTTTCTTTCATGCCTTGGGTTTAACTTGCTCTTTTGTCAGGAGGTTGAGGTTCAACATTAGGTTATTTATTTGTGCTTGTTCGGTTTTTCTGATACAGGAATTCACCACTATATCTTTGCCTTATAGGACCCCTTTTATAGTGTCCCATAAATTCTGGTGTACAGTATTGTTAAATTGTAGATTTCTTTTTTTGTTGTTTTTGGTGTTGTTTTTGCTTGCCAAGCAGGCACTTGTGCCTCTGAGCTAAATCCATGGTTCTTTTATTTGTTTTTTGAAACTGTCTTAATTTCTTTAATTTCATCTGCAACCCATTGGTTGTTTAGGAGAGTCTTCTTTAATTTCCATGTGTTTATGAAGTTTTTGTGATTTCTTTTGCCATTGATTTCTAACTTCATTGCACTATGACTTGAAAATATGCATGGGATGATTTCAGTTCCTTTGCTTTTACTTAAGCATATTCTTTTTTTTTTTTTTTTTTTTTTTGTCTTTTTCGTTTTTATCGGTACCAGGGATCAAACTCACGACCACACATTTGCAAGGCAGGTGCTTATGCCGCTGAGCTAAATCCCCAGCCCCAAGTTCTATTATTTTATTGTTGATTTTTTTGTTTAGTTGATCTATTTGTGACTCTGAGGTATTGAGGTCTCCCATTATGATTGTATTAGTACTTGTTTGATTTTTCATATCTATCAGTATTTGTTTTATATAGTTGGATATGGTGGTATTTGGTGCACATATATTTATGATGACTATCTCTTCCTCTTAAATTGTTCCCTTATCAAGTATATAGTGACTTTCTTTGTCTACTACAATCAGTCTTGGCTTGAATCCACTTTGCTATTAGAGTAGCTTTATCTGCTTTTTTCTGGGTTCCTGTTGCATGGAGTATTGTTTCCCATTCTTTTTTTGGGGACTGGGAATTGAACTTAGGACCTTGCATTTGCCAGGCAGTTGCTGTTTTTCTGAGTTACACCCCCCACCCTTGTTTCCCATTCTTTAACTTATAGTCTATGAATTTCTTTTGGAGTTAAATGTGTGCAGCATATTGTTGCACCTTGTTTCTAGATCCTTTCCGCCTTTGATTTCCAGTACCAAAAAAAGAAAAAAGCTGCCATGGATCCATTCCACCAATCAGTTCCTTTTGATTGGTGAATTGAGACATTTACATTGATGTGTATAACTGCTATGTATTGGTTTGTCTTTGTCATGTTATATCCTGTTGCTGGTTCCCCTTCTTTCCCCTCTGTTTAATTATGTGCCTTGCCTGGTGGATTCCTTCTGTGGGAATTCATAGAATTGTGTTCTTTGTTGTTTTTTTCTAGACTGTCCTTTCAAACATTTTGGAGTGCTGGTCTGGTGGTTGAGTTTCTTTAGGCATTCTTTGTCATGGTAATAATCTTATTTCTCTCTCCTTCACTTTGTTTTGTTTTGTTTTGTTTTGTTTTGGCTTTTGAGATAAGGTCTTGCTATGTAGTTCAGGCTGGCTTTGAGTTCAATATGTAGGTACCCTTAAACTCTTGGAGAGCATCCTTGTGCCTCAACTTCCCAAGAGCAGTCATTACAGGTGTGTACCTTCATGTCCAGCTCCATCAGTTTTGAAAGATGATTTTGTGGGATATAACAGTGTGGGTTGGAGGACTTTTCTTTTAGTGCTTGTAGTACTTCACTTCAGACTCTCTTTATGGTTTGTGTAACTCTCAGCAATACAGTTTCATTGAACTTTTAGATTTTCTTAGTATTTGATAGACAATAGAAGGTATTTTATAGTTTTTATGGTTTTCTTTGTCTTTTGGAAAAGACAGGAATATTTTCTGCTTTCATACCTTTTCTTTCTTCTTCCTCCCCCTCCTCCTCTTGACTTCCTCCTCCTCCTTCTTCTTCCTTTTTTTTAAATTAGGTACTGGGAATTGAACCTAGGACCTTCACACTGAACTATATTCCCAGGTCTTGCTGAGTTACTAAATTACTCAAGTTTGGCTCAAATTTGTAATCCTCCTGCCTCAGGCTCCAAGAATGCTAAGATTTGTAAATATACCACCACTCCCACCTTTTCTACTTTTTTTTTTTTTTTTAAATCGGTACTGGGGATCGAACTCACAACCTTGCACTTGGAAGGCAGGTGCTTATGCCACTGAGCTAAATCCTGAGCTCTTGTTTTTTCTTTTTTTACCTTTCATTACTTTTTAGAGCCATTTGTGCTTGCTTTTCTGTGGGTTGTATCCTTTGTTCATTCTATGTTATGTTATGCTATGCTATGTTATTTGGGGGAGCTGAGACAGGGCCTTGCTTTAGGGTGGCTTTGAACTCACTATGTAGCCCAGACTGGCTTCAAATTTGCTGCAGTCCTCCTGCCTCAGCCTCATGGGTGCTAGGATTACAGGTGTGTACTGCCATGTCTAGCCTTAAAAAACAAAACAGGATGTTTCCTCTTTTGAATTGCCTTCTAGGAACTTTTTACTCTTTTTTTTTTTTTTGTCTTTTTGTTTGTTTGTTTGTTTTCGTTTTTATCTGGTACCAGAGATCGAACTCACGACTGCCTGCTTGCAAGGCAGGTGCTTATGCCGCTAAGCTAAACCTCCAGCCCCCGGAACTTTTTATGTAGTATAGAAATAGCTGTTTCTCTGATATGTTATAAATATTATTATTTTTACTACCTGGGATCAAAACTCACAACCTTGTACTTGCCAGGCTGGTGCTTATGCTACTAAGCTAAATCCCCAGCCATAAATATCATTTGTTTGTTTGTTTTTTGAGACAGTGTTTCACTATGTAGTTCAGGCTGACCTTTGAACTCATTATATAGCCCAAAGTGGCCTTAAACTCACAGGGATCCTTTTGCCTGTGCTGCTAAAGTGCCTGGATTATAGGCATGTTGCCACCACACCCAACTACAAATATTATTTGAACTTTCTAGGAAGCAACTATTCTCCTGATAGCATAGCTTCACAGTCATCCAAATCAGATATACTCAAGATTAGCCACTTAAAAAGCCCAGAAAATACATGAACTCAGGTTTAACTTGCCAGATGAAATTGTTGAGCTCAGAACTGCACCGTAATTAGAATTGATAATACTAGAGTTATCTTGATAAGTAATTAATATTTCCCCTTTGCATTTTTTACCTTAATGTAATAGTGATTTTTTTTCTCTTATCAGACCCCTTTTTTTACTGAATGCCTATAATTTTTATTTGCTATCACTATTCCTCATTACACTCTTGTTACCTGACTTCTCAGTGTCTTCCATTCTAGTGCCTCTAATTTATATCTCTTAAAAAAAAGAAAAACAATTATCTATGCAAATACACCTTCTTAAGTAGAACTAGTCAAGTATAAAAACATTTACAAATGGTGTAAAGAAGTATTGTCATCCATTTTATCTATGTGGGAGTGATAAAGTCTTTCTGGTGCTAGGGAGATAGCTCAGTGGTAGAGTCCTTGTCTGGCATGCACAAGGCCCTGGGTTCAATCTCCTGCACCAGAAAAAAAAATCTTTCCACATACTTAACACATTCCCTCTGCTTGAACTGTCAGTGATATATGCATTATTGTCCCATCAGGTGGCTTGTACCACTCTGTGGTACATCAATGGCCCATCTTGAATGTGTTAAACCATCTTTTTGGTTGGTTGAGAGAGACAGAATGTAACAGGAGCCTCTAAATCTGAGAACACCTTAAGTATCTTTACAAGTAGCTAATTGGAAATTCTTATTCTTTAACATGAATTTATTCTCTCCAGCATCTTTGCTTTCTGAAGAGTTGGAGCATTTTGTCAACAGCCTGGAAAAGGATGGAACTCTACAAAAATGTTTTAAAGATTCAAAAGAGTAAGCATTTTTGTGTTCTAAATTATAGCTGAATTAAGACTTCATTCTAATTACATAACTATTCATTTATTCAACAAATATTAGGGGCTGGGGATTTAGCTCAGCGGCAGAAGTGCCTGCCTTGCAAGCAGGCAGTCGGGAGTTCGATCCCTGGTATCGATAAAAACAAAAAAAAAAATTTTTATCTAGCATTTTCTTATGGATCTTTTCAATGTTGGGAAGATAGTGAAAAATAAGTCAAACAATGTTGTTCCTGTCATACACTATAATAAAGACAATCAAATACACAGAAAATATGATTTCAGATACTCATAAGTCAACAAATATGATAGTGATCTGAGGATGTAGACAACTTTAGTGAGAATATTCAGAAATTGCTCTTGATTTGTCCTTTGGACTCAGACCCATAAGACCTGAATGGTGGCTGGGGGTTTAGCTCAGTGGCATAAGCGCCTGCCTTAAAAGCAGACAGTCATGAGTTCGATCCCTGGTACTGATAAAAAGGAAAAAGACAAAAAAAAAATTGTTGAAAAAAGACCTGAATGGTAAGAAGGAACTAGCCATTGCAAGATGAGAAGAAAAGCATAATAATTGAAATCTTTGCTAGCCATGCATGTTTTTTGGCTCTTGGCAAGGAAGAATATTAGCAGAAATTTTAAATCTCACTCCTAAGTTGGTGATCTTTAGGTGTGATGCTATCTCTAGCTTCCTAGTTTTATTCTATAACATAACATGTACTTGGATTTACATCATCAGTTTTCATTTTTTACTTCCTAAAGGTTTACTATCCCACAGTTCCTTAGGACTGTCATTTCTGATCAGAAAGTGAAACATTTTAGATTAACATAGCATGTTTTTTAATGCAGTATATTTAGAACAGGCTTCTGCATCTCACAGATTGGACAGATGGTGGAGGCTATGTCACAGGCCTTGGTAGAAAAACAGTAACTACTGGTTTGTCTTTGTCAGATACAGTACCAAGTTCTGTTAGAGTATTCTGGCACCGTAGAGAAGCAAAAAGTACAAAAGGAACAGGTTTACTGAGTTGAGGATGTGAAAAGGAGCTCAAAACCCATGGCAGTTGGGCTGTCTCTTTCAACCAGACACAGAGAGGCAGCGGGTTCTATGATCTCTGATTGGAAGTGGTGCATGGGGTGGATATTGATGCCATGTGAGGAGCCCATTGGAATTCTCCGTGCATGCAGACAGGAAGGAGAGTTGCAATTAGAGCTAAAGAAGAAGCAGGAAGTGGTAAGCATCCTGCTTTGGCCTTCTGCCAAGTTACACCACCGCCATAATTGTACAATAATTTATACTAGGGCATGAACCTTTCAAGTACATCTGTAATATTTTGACATTTTCAGTACTTTTTAAGTTTTTTTTTTTTTTTTTTTTGGAGACAAAGTCTCATGTAATCCAAGCTGGCCTCAAACCTGTGATGATCCTTCTGCCTCAGCTTCCTGAATGCTGGGATCACAGGTGTGCATCAGCATGCCCAGCAATACCTGAGACAAGACTATTCCATTAGAATAATCTCCCAATTGAACTAAACTGTTAAAATAAAATAGTAATCACAGTAGGTAAAATGGGTGGGATCAGAACAGGCTTTAAATGCCAGGTTAAGGAGTTTTGGCTTTTGGTGAGATGGGGTGGGGCTCAGGATTGAACCTCACATTGCTCTACCACTGGAGTATGCCCCTCTCGGACCTCCCCCACTCTTTTTTTAGACAAAGTATCACTAAGTTTCTCAGGTAGGGCTCCTTGTGATCCTCCTATCTTTGCCTTCTTAGGTGCTGGATTTATCCAGCTAAATTTTGGCTTTTTTTCTATATGCTGGAGTTTGAACCCAGCGTCTACATTGAGTTACATCCCCAGCACCTTTTTTATTTTGAGACAGGATCTTACTAAGTTGCTAAATTGCTCAAGTTCAAAATTGTGATCTACCTCGTATACCAGAGTACTGGAACCACATGTGTTTGCCCCCAGGCCTGCCCATTCACAGAGGTTTTGCAAGGAAAAAAATCAAAGGTTAGGCATAGCGAGACCCTGTCTCAAAAAAAGGAAAAAAAAAAAGATCAGGAGGTGATCTCCGCCTGGAAAACAGTGCCATGCCCAGGCCACTGTCGTAGTGGAGACAGCCATACCCAAGCCCCTCTTCATGAGTGAGTGCCATGTGCAGACTGGGGGCGGGGCGAACCAGGAGCCTCGCCAGGAAGTGATCCCAGCTGGGAAGCCATATCATTTTCATTGTTTTGTTGGCTTGGGTTTTATTCTCTTCTGTTTTGTTTGATTATGTTAATCTGATGGCAGGAGCAGCTATTTGAAAGATAAGGCATATTATGGTAGCCATTTTGGATTTACTAGTGGCTTGTTTTGAAGTCCTTTATTGCATTCACTGTTTTGGCTTTATTGTTTCTAGTCTACTCTGTTCTGTTTGATTTTACTATGTCCAAAAGTATGTGTAGCTATTTTGAAGACAACAAAAGGCATTATGTGGGGGCTGGGGATTTAGCTCAGCGGCATAAGCGCCTGCCTTGCAAGCAGGCAGTCGTGAGTTTGATCCCTGGTACCGATAAAAAGGAAAAAGACCAAAAAAAAAAAAAAACAAAAAAAACAAAAGGCATTATGGTAACTATTGTTGGTATCATAAGGTTTTGAAGTCCTGTATCACTTCTACTGGTTTATTTCTTATTGGTTTTATTGTTTTGTTTTCCTTGGTTTTATCCTCTTTAAAATAAAATTTTAAAAAAAAGTCAAAGGTTAATTTGGCTTTGATGTGAATTGGAATTGATGAAAGAAATAGAATGATAACCATTTAGAGCTGGTAGTGTGGTGGTACATATCTGTAATCCCCACAGTTGGTAGGTTGAAGCAGGAGGATCACTGCAAATTCAAGACCAGCCTTAGCTACATAGTGAGTTCAAGACTAGCCTGAACTACACAATGTGATGCTATCTCCTAAAATATTTATAAGAATAAAAAATAATTTGCACATGGGGAGTGCATGCATTCAGGAGGCTGATATAGGAAGGTTGCTACAAGTTTGAGGCCAACTTGGGCTACAAAGTGAGTTCAAGATGAGCCTGAACTGCATAGTGAAACTCTGTCTCAAAAAAGACAGTAAAATAAAAACCACTTAGAAGTTACTGTGTAGTGAAAAAGTAAGAGCCCAAGAATATGTATTTGTTGGCTGGTCCGAAGGTAGTGAGTTATCTCAGTTGATTGTTCACAGTCAGTACAGATTGAACTCCTTGTTCTACTCTTTCCCCCCTTCTCACTACTGCACTTGACTAGTCTAAAAAGAAAAAAAAGAATATATATTGGTTGAAAGAAAAATATTGCCATGTTTTATTACCTATAAAATTATGTAGGGCATTATATTAAAAATAGATGTTTCTTGAAAGATTCTTATTAATCCCATAATCATATCTATATTCCAGAAAAGCATTAGATTTGAATCTGGAAGCATCAGTGGCTGAGATGAAGGAACATATAACAAAGTAAGTGAAAATGAGTGAGCTTTTGTAGGAAAATGTAAATTCATTCTCCATCTGGAGAAAATGATCCTGGGAAAAGTTAATAATAAACATAACATTCAGTGCTACTATATATGCACTGAAAATTAAGGTTCTGTGATAGCTAATTTTATAGGATAAAGTCCACGGAATAAGAATGTTAATTTGATTTTTTTTTTTTTTTTTTTTTTTAAGACAGGGTCTCAATATAGTTCGGGCTGGTCTTGAACTCACTTAGTAGCCAGAGATGGCCTCGAACTCATAATGATCCTCTTGCTTCAGCCTCTCAAGTTCTGGGATTACAAGCAAGTGTCATCACACCTAGCTTCATGAAATTGTGGGGGCTTTTTGGATTTTTTTTTTCTTTTTCTCTTTGAGACAAGGTCTCTGTTATGCAGTTCAGGCTGGCCTTGAGCTCATTTGTAGCCCGGGCAGGTCTCAGATTTGCAATGATCCTTCTACCTCAGCCTCCCAAGTGCTGGGATTACAGGAATACACCACCACACCCTGGCTAAGAAACCATGTTTTATTTGATTAGATTAATAGCCTCCAGCCAGGTTTGATGGCACAAGCCTATAATCCCAGCACTTGGGAGGTTCAGGCAGGAAGATCACCATGAGTTTAAGGCCAGTCTGAACTCTATACAGTGAAACCCTATCTCAAAAAAAATTAAAATAAATTAATGTCCTCTGGGTGTTAGGGATATAGCTCAGCGGCACCGTACCTGCCGGGCAAGCTCAAGTTCCTGAATTCCATTCCTGGTACCAACAACATCATCAACAACAACAACAACAAAAAAATCAGTAGCCTCTGCATCAGGCAAGATTTCTAATCCTTTAATGACTTCTACTCAAATTTTTATAATTGGATTCTGTGTCGAATGTACTTATTATCGCCCTAAATTGTTCAGAATGATCTGATCTGAAACTAACTGAAGCCTAGTGTAATCCCAGCACTTTGGAGGCTGAGGACAAAGGATCTCTGTGAGTTCAAAGCCAGCCTGGAATATTTGGCAAGACCCTGTCACAACCACCACTCTTACCCAAAAAAAGTTAATTTAATTTTTCCTTGGATTCTGTAGGTTTTCATTAGAAAGACAGACTTGGGATCATCTCTTGCTGCGCTACCAGAAGGAGGCACTATCAGAAGAGACATCCAGGTTAGATCTGTGAAGTGGAAATAAAAAGCTGCTCTCTCTTTTTTTTTTTGGTACTGGGGATTGAGCTCACGACCTTGAGCTTACTAGGCAAACACTTGAGCTGCTGAGCTAAATCTCTAGCCCCCAAAAAGCTCTCTTTTTAACCTTGTGGAATTTGATATGAGTTTATTTCAGTTCTCGTTAGCATAAACTGAATGATGAATCCTTACAATATAGTCAATTTATCAACACTGTGTGTATTAGTACTCTTGACTGGAAGTGAAGGCTAAATGAGAAGTAAGGGAGAGTAGCTGTGACTGTTTTCAGTGTTAGAACAGAATTACATCTGTTCTGTGTCCTTGGCTGTTGTTTCACATCCTCGGAGATAGGTACATTTCTGCCTTGCACTTGGCCATCTGGGGCTAGACCAAGAACTGTAATCAAGAGACTTGGGGAACCACAAGGGTCTTGCTATGCAGTTCAGGCTGATCTTAAAACTCACCACGTAGCCTACACTGATCTGAAAGTCATGACAATCCTAGTGCCTCCACTCCTGGCAGTACACGGCCCCTTTGAGTTGCAGGGATGAAACAGACCTCTGGCCATGGCCTCATGGATACATAGATAGAATAGACTTAGACTATTAGACCATACATACATAGAATAGACTTAGACTGGTAGAGGAAGGTATAAGTAAAAGAGGATTTTTTTTTTTTTTTTACTTCCCCACCCCACCATACTAGGGAATAAATGCAAGGTCTCATACATTCTAGGAAGGTGCTCTATCACTAAACTATATCCCAATCCCCTTTTATTTTTAATCAGTCTCACTAGGTTGCCTAGCCTGGCCTATAGTCTTTCTGCTTAGCCTCCCAAGTACCTGGAATTACAAGTGTGTACCACTATGATCATCTGAGAGTCGATCTTTGTCTTGATCTTGGAAGCAGAGGAAAAGTGGGAAGTAATAGATTCGGCTTAGTGAGCACCTGAGCTAGTAATCTTAAGCTCCTCCCTCACCAGCAGAACCTTAGCCAGAAACCCAGTTATAAAATGTTAACCAAAACCTTAATTGCAAAAGTAGTCTGGGGATGTAACTCAGTGGTAGAGAGTGCTTGTCTACCATGCACAAGGCTCTGAGTTCAATCCCCAGTACCACCACCAAAAAAAAAAAAAAGAGTGGCCTCACAGTAGAAGGGGGCTCTAAGTAATGTGACCTAAAAAACTTCCCCACTAAGATGGCAGTTTCAAGCTGAAAATAGTGGCTCACTCCTGTAATCCCAGCTACTCAGGAGGATATGGCAGGAATTGGAAGCTTGAGACCAGTCTGTACAATTTAGCAAAATCCTATTCAAAATAAATTTTTAAAATCCTGGGATGTAACTTGGTGTACAGTGCTTGTCTAGTATGCACAAAGGCCCAGATTCGGTCCCCTATACTGCATCTATACACACAAAATGATGGCACCTTGAGAATCAAAGCTTTGCAGCAAAGCTTATAGATTAAGCAAAAGCATCTTAGAGTTGACTGTTTAGATCCTGATTACCTACTCCTGAGTTTTGTGACCTTGAGCAAATCACTTAATCCATAAAGTATGAGGCTCCTTAGTTGAAAATAGGGATGATGGTAGTACTTAGCACATTGGGTCATTGTATTAATTGATGTTAAATGGACTGTGGCCAGCAGCTTTAGGCACCTAAAAAAGCTCAATAAATTGTAACAGTTACAAGAAGGTCATCATTTTTCATGAACTCTCCATCATACCAATTTTTTTAGGTAATTGAAGTAGATCAGCATTTACTTTGGTAAATGACCATAGATAGTGACTTGGCAAGCTTTGGCATCACTCTACCCCATACATCGTCTTTTTTGGTATGTGAACTGAGCTGTTAAGTAGAGTTAACTGGGTTGAAGTTTCCAACATTTCTCAGAGTGCAATGGTATAAAAACATTAATATTAGGTAGGTGCAGTGTCAGATGCCTGTAAAATCCGAGCACTCTGGGAGGCTAAGGAAGAGATTTATAAGATTGAACACAGCCTGGGCAATTGAGCAAGACCCTGTCTTAAAATAAAAAATATTAAAATGGGCTGGAGATGTAGTTCAGTGGAAAGACCATAGGTTCCATCCCTGGTACCACAAAAAATAATAATACTAAGCCATTATGCCAGAACCTCTTGTCAAGAGAGCCCATACCTGGGGCTGGGGGTAAAATTCAATAGTAGAGCACTTGCCTAGCATATGCAAAGCCCTAGATTGAATCCCCAGCACACCAAAGGGCCTTGGCTGACCATCGTAAGTGATATAAATTTTATGTCCTGATTTTAATTATTCTCCTCTGTTCCCTGACCACAACAGAAATTGGTACCAGAAGTGGGGTCATTGCTGTTCTGCTGCATGGCCACATGGCTTAGAGCCTTAAAAATTAATTTAAAACGTTTTTGAGAGACTGGCAAAAAAAAAAAAATAGCCCCTATATGTTATAGACCATATTAGAGACTCTGATCAGAGCCTTAAAAAAAATCAGAGTATTGATAAAAACGCTGCCAGTTAAGATAAAGCTCGAGAGTCCTCTGTTGAGAAGGACTACATCGGCTGCTAGAGTCCAGGTAGTATACTGTGCTTTAAGCTAAAAGTTGGTGTTCATTTTGTTTGTATTTAGAGATATTACCTGGTCTCCAAAAAATTTCAGTGCAGTCTACAGTTGAGATGGTAGCACAGTTACTTCTGAGAGATTTTGACTGTGTTAAAATTTAGAGTAGAGCCAAAAAAATAATTTAAAACGTTTGGCAAAAAAAAAAAAGGCTCTAGTAAAACTGTGGGTAACAAAGATAAAACAGAAGCATAGTTATTTAAAAAAACAAAACAATAAAAAAATAAAGTCTTTCATCTAAAGATAAAAATATATTTAAATTGTAGGAGATCCTTATTTTTTAGTCTTGCTATGCCATGTTAAAAGTTAATAAAAGGGGCTGGGGATTTAGCTCAGCGGCTTAAGCGCCTGCCTTGCAAGCAGGCGATCATGAGTTCGATCCCCAGTACCGATATGTAATTGTTGCATTAATGTAAATCTAAATAGACCAAGATTGTTAACTTTTACAAATCTGCCACTAAAGACTATACTTTAAAAAAAAAAATGTGTGTGGTTATTAAGTTGACCAGGGATAGATTGTTTTTGTTTTTGTTTTTTGTCTTTTTCCTTTTTTTGGTACCGGAGATCGAACTCACGACCGCCTGCTTGCAAGGCAGGTGCTTATGCTGCTGAGCTAAATCCCCAGCCAATGTGTTTTTGTTACTATAGGGATGGATTGTTATGAGTTAAAAACTGATGGTCAACTTAACACCAGCTTAATTAAATCAACAGCATGCTGCTGAGTGTAGATGTTCCACCTAAAAAAAAAGTTGCCAGCATAAATAGAAACATAAAGGCGGGGGGGGGGGCATTGTGAGTTTCTCAAAGCATTGCTATTTGAGCCCTTGGTTCTCCTAGAGGAACTCATTGTGACCAGCTTCCCTAGTTTGAGTTCAGCCATTGTCATTGGAGGAGCTCAGGACCTTGTGGTGAAAGTGACTGTGGTTCACTTTGGGGGAGCTCTGGTCCTTACACTGAGCATTGCTTCCTGGCTCTGGAGGGGGAGACGTGACATTTAATCTCCAGGACAAACTCATCATGCTGGCTTTCGGGCATGTACTCGGCTATTCTTATCATCAGAGGAGCTCAGGATCTCCCTGTCGCTGAGGATGGCTATGGTGCTTTTCAGGACAGCCCTGGTCCTTATTATGAGCATGACTTCTCAGCTCCAGTGTAAAACCCTCAACCTACCAGCACAGCTCCTTCACCCTGCTGGCATAGACTTTCTAGCTTCTACCACTTCTATTATCTTTGGGTCTTCCCATCACAGATCCGTAAAAGAGACTGGCGTGAGTCCTTCTTGTGAGCTCTAGACCTCCAGTTGAACTCATGGGAAGCACTGTCATGGGTTCTAGGTTTTCATCTAGACTCACGCAGGATATTGCTGTGTGATCCAGGCCCTTGGCTAAATATTCCGTGTCTTTAGTGTTGTAGATAGATTTCCTACACTTTCTTGTGTTAACTTTGGGTGACCGTCATAAATAATATTATAAATTCTGTGTCCTGATTCTAATTGTTCTCACAACCCTTGACTACAACAGCTGGCTCTACCTAGAGTAGGGTAGAAGGATATTGATTCAGCTTTATAGGAGGTTTTTTTCAGATAGTCTTTGCTATCTTTTTTACAAAATAATTATAAAATTCTTTGAAATCTCTGTTTTGTTTGGTTTTTAGAGGATCAAATGAAACCAAAATTACTGAAGTTAAACTGGAACCAGCATCATATCTTAGATCTTCCCAAAATGAAGTTCTTTACACAAAGCCCGACTATCAAAAAATATTACAAAACCAGAACAAAGTCTTTGATTATATGGAGTTGGTGGTAAGTCAGCTCAACGTTGTTTCCTTAAGCTGTCCAAGTTTGCTACCTTTTCATTTGTGTTGGTTTTCCATATCTGATAAAATACCTGAAATAACCAACTTACAAAAAGAAAACGTTTATATTGGCTCACAATTGTAGAAGTTTTTTTAGGCCTGTGAATGGACAATAAATACCCTCAGTCAGTTCCCTCCCACTAGAGCTTTCTGATGGCAGTACCCAAGCAGAACAGAGGATATGACTTGTCCCTGGGTCAGCCTCCTGGGACATGGAGCTAGGAGGGGGAAGTAAGGTGTGGCTCAGGGGGAGCCAATAGAATGTCTGCCATAAGCATTCCAGACTGAAAGGACAGCAGGTCCAGTGTTCCAGTCCACCATTGGGAAAGAGTCTGCATGAAGAATTTGGGGGAACTTCAGAGAAGTCATGGAACCCTGAAGCTTAAGGCTGTCTTTTTCTGCAGATAGATGAGCTGCAAGGATCAGTGAAGCAGCTGCACGCTTTTATGGATGAAAGTACCCAGGACCTCCAGAAGGTGTCAGTACAGCTTGGTAAGTTTCTCTTGAGACCAGAGTTTGGGCTGTTTCAGATCTGTTAGGCTTTGAGAAATATGTGGTCCCCAGGGTAAGACCTATAGGAGATGATCTGTTTTTCTCTCCACAATCAGGACTGTGTTGATGAGAAATTTCTAGACATAAATTCCAAAAGCACAGTTAAGAGTGAAAATTAAATCCCCATGAACTCTTTTGTTTTAGCAAATCCAAGACTTTAAAAATACACACTATATCAGATGATACAAACCTATAATCTAGCACTCAGGAGGCGAAGGCAAGAGAATCTATACAAGCTAAAAGGACAGTGCGGAGTACATAGCCAGATCAGTTTCCAAGGGAAAAAAAAACCCAGTTTCTTTGGTGTGTGTGTGTGTGTGTGTGTGTGTGTATGTGTCTTTTTGAGACAGGTTCTCACTGTGCAGTTCAGCCTGGCTTTGAGCCTGACTGACTCACTTTGTAGCCTGACTGGTCTTGAACTTGCAGTGCTCCTCCTGCTTCAGCCTCCTGAGTGTTGGGATTATAGGCATGTGGCATCCCACCCAGCTAAATCCACTGTTTTGTTTTGTTTTTTCTTTTTATCGTTACTGGGGATCAAACTCACGACCACCTGCTTGCAAGGCAGGTGCTTATATCGCTGAGCTAAATCCCCAGCCCCTAAATCCACTGTTTTTTGACCTCTTAAAAATTTTCTAGAACCCATAAAGTAACACTGACATAACTGTTTTGTAGCTTTTCCTCACCTCCTCCATCCCTAAATTACTTGCTATATGCACTTTTTTCTTACTGTATTGTATTGTAGTAGCTAGCTTTCCCATCAAGACTGCCACCTCCTGGAGGACAGAGACAATTTGTCATTGCATTGCCCTTCACCACCTGGCACGTTGCCCACACAGTATTTTCAATAAGTTTTATGTGAATTCAGTTGAAATTGATTTGTTTGGCTTCTTTCTTCTGCAGAGAAAAGAAGCATGCAGCAATTAGACACTTCGCCTGCTCGAAAACTGCTCAGACTTCAGTTACCAAACCCGTCTGCCCCTTACTACTCGGGATCTTGTCAGTGACCTTACTCAGCTTTTCCTCCACAAGGGTAAAATGGAGAAGCTTCTCTAGTAGTGGCTCCTGCATGGCGGTCTGAGCTGGGGGAGTTCTGTCCTTTGCTTTTAAGGCTAGTTGCCTGGCCGTAGAGCACTTCATTTTTTTTTTTTTTATGATAGAATTTATGCATATAAAAGAACTGCCAAGACACTTTCCTGGAATGTGTGAAATGACTGAAATTTGCTTGTGAAATCAGTCGCTTTCAGGATTAGTGGCCCATTCTTTTTAAATGCCCTTCCTGGTCAAGTTTCTTATCTTGGGAGGATATTTTTCAGGTTTTGAAATAACCCAAAGTCACTCAGGACAAGTTTAATGAAACATGACTGGGTTCTGGTCAAATGGAAATTACTCTTATATTCTAGTCTAATTCTGAAGGTGATCTTAGGTAGAAGAACGCTGAGTATTGTTAGCATCATCAGAATACTTTTATCACTTCAAAGAATGCTCAGTTTAAAAAGACTCATGTCTGTGTCTTTAAGTGTATAGTGTACTTTAGGTTTTGAATTTTGAGCTGACATTCTCAATTCTGAATTCATGGCACAGAGCGGCTAAGTACTACTTTTTGAAGTGGATTTATAATCAGTATAGGAATCCAAGCAGCCAAATTGACAAATTTTGGGATTTTATTAGCTGAGCTCAGTGACCACTCGTAAAGACCCCTGTTTCAGAGTCAGATCAAGTGGCCCCGAACTGGAGGGTTACAAGAGTATTTAGAGCAGAAAACTGAAAAGCAAGACATCCTGTTGGAAACAATTTAGCTAGAATCTTACATTAATTTTGGGTGACACCAGTATCCTGCTTCTTTGTTGTGCAGGTTAATTTTTTGTTTTGTTTTGTTTTTTGTCTTTTTTTGAGATGGGGTCTGTCGTGAGTGTCTAGAGCACTTTGAACTTTGGGCAAGGTAAACACGCACGCCTTGTCGGGACACGGGGGGTACAGCGCTTGGAAAAGAAAGACAGGAGAGACACCTTTGCTGTCTGCACCGCGTTACACTGCACTGCACTGCACTGTACGCACAATCTTTATTTTAGGATTCATATATAGTAAACCCGATCAATTCACAGAGCCCAGATAATTAAGTAGTGAAAAGGCATTCTTTGTGGCAAGCTACAACGTGACAGACTACAATGTTTATTCTAAAACTATCTAAGTGAAGTAAATAATCACAACCAGTTCTCACAACTTCTCTAGCCCAGGAAGAAATTGATTAGCTCAAGAATGTTGTTAATTTGTCTGCTGTTAGTGTCACAAAGGGTGGCCAGCCACTTCCTCAAGACTTCTGCAAAACAAAGCCAGCTCACAGTATGGATTCCAGAGGGTGAGGGCTCACTGAGAACGGGCATTCCCGTTCTACCTCCTTCTCGCATACCAGGGCGGCTATTGTAAATTGCAGGTTAGAGGGGGTTGGGCCTACAAAGTGACACCTTATCCCCCACACTTCCTTCCTTTTTATTTTTTAACAACAATTTCCATAAGATCAGGTTATTAATAGCATTTCGTCTTATGCAGTAAAAATACACAAGAACTATGGCAATGAGAACTATAATTAAACTAAGTCCCATGCCACTAAAAGTGTGGGTAATGCTCTGCCAGATTCCTTTGGAATCTAATCCTTTCAAAGATTGAGCAAGCAATTGCGCGAATTGTGCTAGAGATTCATCATCATTTTGCTTTGCAAAATCCTTGTCAATTTGATTATGCAAAGATTCTATTTCCTCCTGGGCAGAGGTGTTTCCATTTAAATACATTCTAATCATTTCCCATTCATGTTCTGTCTGATTATAAGGTCGTTGGGTTATACAGAAAGTAGTTGAATTCCAATCACATTTTAAAAACACTTGATGCTGAAGAGCCAATATTTTTCTACCCATCCATTCAACTGTTTGTTTAAGGAGGTCTATTTGTTGTTGTAGTCTGGCGTTTATCTGCCACTGAGTTAACCAAAGTTCATGAGAATTCTCATGCCATAATTCGACAACATGTTTTTCTTGTAAAGAGGTTTGTAAAGCTACTCCTGAGACTGCTGCTAGAGAGGCTACAGTTATCAGACTTAACAGTACAGCAACCACTATTCTAATAAATCTTTTTGTACGTTTTAACAGATGTTTAAAAAATTTAGTAGTAACACAAATTACCGGGTCTTGAGACCAAGGTCGAGTTAAATTTACAGGCAACCAAATATGAGTTTTTTGTTGTAACAGCATAACTGTATAAGGCTTAGTGAAATTTAGTGTGTTATTTAAGCATGTAAACAATTGACAATTTAAACAAGTACAAGAAAAATGTGTAAAATTAAAAGTTCCCACTAAAAAGACATAAGGCAGAGGTGCACAAACAGTAATATTATACATTTTAAACCTAGTAAAATTATAAGTAGTAGATACAGATCGACTAGTCCCTGAATATGAAACATTGTACAAGGTTACAGGTTGCATAGCGGCTGGGATCTTTCAAATATGATTTTGAAGGTGATGAGGGTATTCTTCGGCTGCAACAGCAGGGTTAGCGATTCCACCATCTCCCCACCACAAGAGAGCCGTCTTTTGTTGAAATATAGGAGCTCCGTCAGTTATTTTCTTTGGATCTGGAAGACTATACACAACAGAGAGATTATATCTTGTCTCATTCCATTCAGCACATCCATTAACGAATTTTCCAAATGGTCCCCAAATAATATACCCATCAATATTTTTAGCAAATTTTCCCATACATAGTTGCCAAATTATGGGATTATAAGAAATATTTTTATAAGTAAATTCAGGGCATACAGGAAATGTATTTGTATCAGGTGCTGTTAAATTTTTCCAGGTAACATTAAAGGTTTGAGCAGCCAAGGCTTGAAGCCTTGTCCTTTTGTTGCCTGCTTTTATTCCATGTTGAATCCAATACTGCCATCCCAGAGGGATGCAAGGCGGTTCCCCAATGCAAATAGGCCTTTGATTACCATAATAAGTAAAATTGAATAGTGTCCCATCATCTTGATTGTGGGGGGTTAAATCAGCCCACGGTGCTGACAAAATTTCTCTAGGTGTGGTATAAAGTAAAATATCACTAGTTCCCCATTTTACAGGTTCTAATAAAGGGGGGTTTGGAATATATGCCCAGTACGAATGCGGAGGTACCTCAGTCCCCGATGCAACGGTGAGCAAGGCACATAAAGCTAAAAACAAGTTTTCAGGGTTTAAAGGCTTTCCTGCTTGAAGGACAAGCCGTTGCCCTTCTATGGTCAATTTCTTTAATTGTCCCCATGTAGGGAGGGGATTTAAATTTGGTCGCTGTGAGCGGCGGGATTTTCTTAGCTGTAATCTGGCCATGGCTGCGATAGGAACAAACTCAGCATCCTCAGCTTCTAGCTGGTTTCGCGCTCGCTTCTGAAGGCACGGTTCCGGTTCCTTGGGGAGTTGTCTCCGGGGCTGGTGAACAGGATCTGGAGACGCGGGTCCTGATCCATCGTCCAGGGACCCACTGCTGAATTCCATTTTCTGTGGAGATATAACCAAAACCTTTCCCCCTATAGAGCAATGTGCCCCTCTCCCATTCAGCCTCTGGAGCTGTTTTAGTCCAAATAGGTTCATTAATCACAAAAGGCTGTTGTTGCTGTTCAAAATGTTTTTCAGCTCTTGTTAATATTTCACCTTGTGGTAAATTGAGAAAATTTAAAATAAACAATGCTTGATGCAGTAATGTTTTTGGACTGTTTTGCAATTTAAACAGTATTGGTATCTGAATATCCTCCTGACTCCTCCTTTTTAATTTTTTAATTTGTAATTTAAGAGTGCCATGTGTTTTTTTAACAATAGCTTGACCCTGGGGGTTATATTTAATCCCTGTAATATGAATAATATTATGGAGATCACAAAATTGTTTAAATGTTTTGCTAGTATAAGCAGGTCTATTATCTGTTTTGATTTTAGAAGGAATTTCCATAACTGTAAAAGTCTCTAATAAATGTACAATAACATTTTTAGTGGATTTTCCCTGTTGAGCAGTAGCCCATAGAAATGAAGAATAGGTATCAATAACTATATGTACATAAGAAAGCCGACCAAAAGAAGGTACATGTGTAATATCTATTTGTCATAATTTATTAGGTTGAGTTCCTCGAGGGTTGACACCTGCGGGAATAATTTTTAAATGTAATGGTCTACAAATAGGGCAGGCTTTTACAATTTGTTTAGCTTTTGTAAAAGGTATCTTATATTTAAGATGCAAATGTCCTGCATTTGCATGATTAAATTGATGTTTTTTAACGGGTGTGGTGAACATAACTAAGGAATCTACTGCATTGTTACCTGATATTAATGGTCCGGGTAACTGAGAATGAGAACGTAAATGAGTAATAAAATAAGAATGATTTTTTTTTTGAACATGTATTTGTAAATTTTGAAATAAAGACAATAAAGCAGGCTTATTAGAATATAACACAGCTGAATAGATATTTGTCACTACTCCAACAGAATAGGCCGAATCGGCTATAATATTAATAGGTTGGTTATGAAAATCTAAAAACACTTGTAATATAGCAAAAAGTTTATTTTGTTGTACAGAGTTAAAATTTGTCTGACGTACCCAGTAAGATTTTTGAGTCTAATATGTAGCTTTATTTTTAGATCTATCTGTAAATATAGTCAAAGCTTGTGGAATTGGCTGTACAGCTAATAAGGTATTAACCACAAATTGTTGACGTCTAAAAAAATCTCATAATTTACTTTTAGGAAAATGATATGAAAAAGTTTTTATGAAATCTGCTAAAGCAATTTGTAAGGTTTTAGTAATTGACAACAAATATTTCCATTGTTTCTTAGTTAAAGGGATAACTATATTGTTTATATCTTTTCTTATCAAAGTTATAGAACGAGCTCTATTATTTATAATTAAAGCTGTAACCATGTCAATATAAGGCATAACATTTTTAGATTGTTTAGTTTTAGTGAATACCCATTTTATTGGCATAGCATTTTGACCTAAAACTGCAGAGGGATATTGAAAAGTATTAATAATATATAAAGTTAGAGGCAATTTAGGATCAATCCTAATTAAAAATGTATCCTTAATTTGTTGTTTTACAAACTGTAATTTTTGCTCTGTTTTTGCTGTTAAAGAACGAGGGCTGGATGGATCTGAAGAGCCCTGTAGAGTAGCAAACAAATGCTGTAATGTATGGGTAGGAATACCTAGTGTGGGACGAAGCCAATTAATATCCCCTAATAATTTTTGAAAATCATTTAAAGTGGATAACTTATCTCTCCTAATAGACATTTTTTGTGGAATCACCTTTTATCTAGTAAGAATATATCCCAAATAATGACTAACTTTTTTTTTTTGAATTTTATCCTGTGCTATTACCAATTAAAACATTTTAAAGACTGTTTTTTTTTAGAATGCCAATTAGTCCACGTGGTTGTCATGGTCTCAGCAAACAGTTGTATTTTTTTAGATTCTGAATTTAAATCTTTACATTGTTTTATAAAATTGTCAATCGTTCCAGTATCTTTTATTGGAATTAAAGCCCTTTTGTATTTATTATTAGCATTTTTAAAAGCTAACATTTTTAAGAGATGCTCTTGTAAGTCTTGTCTCACTACTGTTTTTTTTATAACATTTTGAAGTCTTGCAACGAACTCAACATATGGTTTATTGGCTCTTTCCAGAACTTTAGCCCAAGATCTATATTTTGATCCTTTAGGCCGTATTTTATCCCAAGCTTTTAAAGCAATATCTTTTAATTGAGCATGAATCTCTCTTGGAGTTCCTGTCTGATGCTCAACAGTATCAAAGAAACCTGTACCAGAGAGCATGGGATAAGAAAGGAGTCTAATATTCGGATCTCGATCGTCAGCATTTTGTCTTGCCTTTTTCGCACAACCTTCTATAAACCACATGTGCCACTGTAAATATTCTGGCTCCTTTAAAAGAATTTTGGCCAAGGCCTTCTAATCATAAGGAGCAAGATTACCATAGTGATCTGCTACCGATGTTATTAATTTTTTAGTGTAATGAGCCTGAGGGCCATAAAGGGTTACAGCCTTTTTTAATTTTGTTAAATCATCTATATTAAATGCTTCCCATCTAGGGGGAACTGCCTCTCCATCTATTGGCTGAGGCCTGATTACAGGGAAAGCAAAGGCAGGCTTTTCCTCATCAGAATCCCCTAATTTTGGTAAATCAGCCAAAGCTAGCTTGGCTTTACTCCAATTAGGGTTAGATGGAGGAGGTGCAGAGGGAACTACAGGCGGGTTCTGCTTAACGGAGAGTTGTTTCACCTCTTGTGTTAAATGTTGTATAGCCTGTAAAATTGGGCGATTGTCATAATTTGATATTGTTGCGGCAGCTAAAGCTGAGTCGGCTGTAGCGGATTTTACTTTTGGTTTGGACGCCTTTTTACTACTTAAAGCGATAGCGTCATTTTGAACTACATTTTGTTCCTCCTCTGTGAGGGGCAATTTCTGAATAACTGGCTTAATTTCTAGTTGAAGATTTTTTACAATATGTTCATCTTTCATAGCTTTTAATAAAGAGTACACAACCGACCAAATAGCCCAAAAACGTAAAGGAATCTTTTTCTCCTGTTGCATAGCCCTTTTTATACTAACCCTTGCCTTTTTCCATACTTCTATATCTAAAGTTCCTTCATCTGGAAACCAAGGATTATATTCTTTAATTGTATCAATACACATATCCAAGTCAGCTGACCTGAGCGATATGCCATATATAGATAATAAATGTTTAAGAATTTTTAAGAAAGGAGAGGAAGCAGATTGTCCCATTTCCCCGTAATAAAATTATACTTACCTTCCTAAGCGACCTTTGGAGCCCCACGTTGGGCGCCACTTGTCGTGAGTGTCTAGAGCACTCTGAACTCCGGGCAAGGTAAACACGCACGCCTTGTCGGGACACGGGGGGTACAGCGCTTGGAAAAGAAAGACAGGAGAGACACCTTTGCTGTCTGCACCGCGTTACACTGCACTGCACTGCACTGTACGCACAATCTTTATTTTAGGATTCATATATAGTAAACCCGATCAATTCACAGAGCCCAGATAATTAAGTAGTGAAAAGGCATTCTTTGTGGCAAGCTACAACGTGACAGACTACAATGTTTATTCTAAAACTATCTAAGTGAAGTAAATAATCACAACCAGTTCTCACAACTTCTCTAGCCCAGGAAGAAATTTATTAGCTCAAGAATGTTGTTAATTTGTCTGCTGTTAGTGTCACAAAGGGTGGCCAGCCACTTCCTCAAGACTTCTGCAAAACAAAGCCAGCTCACAGTATGGATTCCAGAGGGTGAGGGCTCACTGAGAACGGGCATTCCCGTTCTACCTCCTTCTCGCATACCAGGGCGGCTATTGTAAATTGCAGGTTAGAGGGGGTTGGGCCTACAAAGTGACACCTTATCCCCCACAGGGGTCTTGCTATGCTCAAGACCAGTTCAGGCTGGTCTTGAGCTTACTTTGTAGCCCAGGCTGGTCTTGAATTTGCAAAGATCCTCCCACCTCAGCCTCCTGAGTGCTGGGATTACAGGCGTGAGCCACCACACCCGGCTCTTGTGGATGCAGCTCATTCTGCTTTTCTCATGGGATTTGTACTCTGAGTAATTTTTCACTCTCCTAGGTCAAATACAGGGCACAAGATGGCATCAGTTATGCCAAGCTGCAACACTTTTATTTAATTTTTGTGTGTATTTCTGTGGTGTTGGGGAATGAACTCCAGGGCTTTGCACATGCTATTAAATGCTCTGTTACTGAGCTATTACCCCCAGGCCTCTGATTGTTTCTTATTGTTAATGGTCTGCATTATACAATTGCATATAATTAAGGTTTTCCCTGTTTTTGTGTTTTGAGTGTATACAGTTTTTTTTTTTTTTTTTTTCTTTTTTTCTTTTTTGCAGTGCTGGGAATTGAACACAGAGACCTCATGCATGCTAACAGTTCACCCTACCACTGAGCTATGCCCTTAGCTCCTAACAAAATTTAAAGGCAAGGAGGGTTTAGAAAATAAACTTCTATGCTGCAATAAATAGTAATGTAAAGCTAAGCCTCACCACCTATTCCCAATAAAACACTAACTACTGTTTTGTTAATGCTTTCTATAGTCTTTTCCTACTAATGGGACAGAGCTCATTTCATTTCATTTCCTGTTTGCCCTGAGAATATGCAGGCTGCATTTACCCCAAGATAATTAATGAGTCATATTCCTAATCATACCTCCGAGGTTTGCTATGAACTATCTCACTTTTATTATTTTTGTATTACTCTAGTGTATCACTAGCTTTTGGAAGCAGAATACATGCTATTTATAACATTCTGTTATGATATTTTACATTATAGATCTCTAAGGTAGAATTATTCTAGGCAGTCAGACAGGACTGGGCCCTTGAGAGAGTTAATATGAAAGGTAAAAACACATTACAGCTGTGGTCAGAATTACATCTGTTGGAGGTCAAGCCTCAAGGTAAAGACAGATTGGCCAGGTCTAGTGCCTCCCTAAGGGATAAGATAATTGTTAATGCCTGGTCCAATAAAGTCCAGATAGACATCAGTCACCTCAGTGGGTGACCAAGACCCCTAGACATATCCCTTCCTGAAAAGTTCTTTGTTCTTGCCATGTACAGTTGCTACATGACTTCGTTCTTCATTGGATTAATGTTTCATAAGAGGCTATACTTAGTGATTGGCCATAGTTTTGTCCCCTGTTGTACCCACCTTGTGATTTTGCTTTCTAAAACTTCCTCTGTGAAATGGGTTCATTGGCAGCCCACTCAGGATCCCTCCTGTCTCATAAATATTTCCTACTTTATTCCTTAGAATTCATTCTTTGATACTGGGGAACATGAACTCAGTGTATCTGACAGCTAGCAGATCAGCAGTTATATTTCCCTTATAATATTTGGAGTTCTGATACTCCCGTATCATTTACCTTCACAAAATGGAGTAATTCTCAGTCACTGAAAATGTCAGGTCCTAGAAAACTGCATTCCTCAAAGAGCATGTTTATGTAAAAGTAAATGAACTGGGGCAGTGAGCTGTACTTTTTCTAAGTGAGAAATAGGTTAAGCCAGTGAAAATGTTACTTAACCTTGGCTCAAGCACCTGTTGGTGAGAGATGGTACCTCCTTACACTACATTTTATCCATTCAGATCTTGAGTCCCTACTGTCTGCCAGGCACAGTTCTGGTAACTGAGGAGAGAGCCATGAGCAAAGGCACAGCATCTCCCTAGTGATGCTTACAGTCTACCTAGGATATACGGAGCATAGTGACACACCTGATTTGGGAAGGATGAAGAAACTGAACAAGTATTTCACGCAGAAACGGCACTTTCAGCGACTTGAGAATGGAGCTCCTGGGGTACTGAAATATGAAGAAAGCAGGAATGCTAAGCACCACTGAAGAGTGGCCTGAAGCAAGGAAACTGAAAATAACTACAACACTTAAGACAGTAAACCAGGCATCATGGTGCATGCCTGTAATCCAGCACATGGGAGGCTGAGACAGAAAGACTGGGTTTTTTGGTTGGTTGGTTGGTTGGTTGGTTGGTTGGGTTTTTTTGTTTGTTTGGTTTGGTTTTGGTGTTTTGAGACAGGGTCTTATGCAGTTCAGGCTGAATTTGAATGCACTATATAGCTGAGGCTGGGCTCAACTGCACAGAAATCCTCCTGCCTCAGCCTCCCAAGTGCTGAGATTTCAGGTGTGTACCCCCCATGCTCAACTAGATAGGAGGATTGTTGAATTTCAGGCCACCCTGGGCTACTTAGTGAGACCCTGTCCAAAAAAAAAAAATGATTAGAACTTTATTGATTTTTTTTTTTTTTTTTGTGGTACTGTGGATCAAATGCTAGGCTTAGCACGTATTAGGCAAGCTGAGTGTTCTGCCACTGAGCCATACCTTCAGCCAGGGGACTTTATTTTGAAAAGGTCTCTATAGTTGTTGTGCAGGTAATAGAAACAAGCAAGGTGTAAATATGAGAGACTGTTAGGTTCCTACAGTAGTAGAGGTGAGACTAAGGTGCTAGGTGTTGACAGTGGATGAGGGGGTACAACTACCTGTTACTCATGGTGTCCAGAACATAGGTATAGGACCTATTTGTTAAAAACTCAACTCCCCTACTTCCCAATTGCAAGTGAGAAAGTTACTTAACCTTTTTATCTGTGAAGTTGAACGATAAAATTTATAATACAGAGGCTTTATGAGGATTCTATTAAACAATACAAGTTTAGAACAGTAGTACCAATTTGTTAATGATAAAAGCTTGAACAAACAGTTGATGAAATGAGAAAGCTAGTTTAATTTGGAATATGAAATGGAAAATTCACCTAGACTCCGATATACAGGTACAGAGCTGGGTAGAAAAAATTAAACGAGATAAAAATTCTTATGTCTAACTATTGAAGACTACAATGGGCGATACCAAGTAGAACAAGAACAGAAATTTCAGTCTCAAGGAGAGTCCCTATTTAGGACTAGAACTATAGTTCAGTGGCAAGAATGCTTACTTAGCATGTGTAAGCCCTATGTTTGGTCCCCAGTACAGCAAAAAATAAAAACAGAAGCTAACATTTTAGAACTACATGAAGCCTGGACTGGTAGTGCATAGCATATGATGTCAGCAATTGGTTATGGCTGGTATCTCGATGTCCCCTCCAAGTCTCATGCACTCATACGAGGGGCTTTTGAAAGGTGACTGGATTGTGGGAGCGTAATACTGTATTACTCCACTAATGAGTTTAAAACTGAGTAGGAGGGAAAACCTGAAGGTGAACCTAGAATGGTGTATTCCTCCCCTCTTGATGACTGCGCTTCCTGCCTGCCATGCCATAAGCTCTTTCTTTCCTGCTATGTCCTTCTGACATGTCACTCTGCCTTAGAGCCAGCAGAGACTATAAACTAAAACCTACACATTGTAATGAGCCGGGGATTTAGCTCAGCAGCATAAGTGCCTGCCTGGTAAGCGTGAGTTCCATCCCTGGTACCAAAATAAGTAAATAAATAAATAATCTGCCTTCTTCTGATAGGACTTAGGGTAGGAAAAAAAACCCTACAAATTGTAACCCAAAATAAACTTTCTCTAAGTGTTGGATGTTGGGTATTGTGTTCCAGCAATGCAAAACAAATAGGCTGAGGCAGCAGGATCTTGAGCTACATGATAAGCCTGTCTCAATATAAAGAATCAAAAGAATGGTGTTAATTGCCTACTGTTTAAGAAGCATAGTATAATGGAAAGTGTAGCTCTCATCCTCAGTTGCCTCATCTGTATAATGAGGCTAGATCACCTCTCTTCAAAGGCTATTAAAACCACCCAATTATTACACTGTATTGCAATTTTCGTTTATGAGTATTCACTCTTGAGGACAAGAAGTATGTTTGGTGTTTTCAGCTGAACAGCATAGACCATAGAAAAATAATACTTACTGAGCTCTAAGTATTGTTTGATCCTTATTAGAACTCACCTGTCACCCCCGTACTTGGGAGGCTGTGGCAGGAAGGTTGCTGTGAGTGCGAGGCCTACCTGGGCTACATAGTTTAAAGGCCAGTCTGGATTGTGTATCCCAGGCTATGGTCATACCATCCTTAACATGCACTCATGTGTAGTTTAAAACAACAGAACACCTTTAAGAGTTCCTATTTTGTCATATAGATGAGCAATTCAGGGGCAAGGAGGCTTACTCGTAACCAAGAGTATTGCATAGATTATAGGGGGTAAACTAGAATCAATGTGGCACAGAGTAAATGTTAATAAATAAATCATAACAAGAAGGCTGTGCTCAATATTAGTTTTTCATCTACCCGGATTTGGTTCAGGAATTGTGTCAAGAATAACAAATTATTGCTGCCCTCTGAGATTTTTGGTTGCATTTATTTATTTCATTGGCCTAATTTAGTTAAAAGAATAATCGTCAGTGATACTTAACATTAAAGAGACAATACATTAGTAAGCTCTTTAGGGGAAGAGATTGTGTCCTGTATATTTTGGTGTTGAATTGTTGGGCCATTAAGCTTAATGTGTGCAATGATGAGAGGGGAGATTCACCTCTGTTCTACTCGAGAACGCAACTGCTGTTGCAGGTAGTTACAGAACCACGGGGAGGGGTGTAAAAGAGGACTGCTAGTGAGGACCCTTGAGACCAGCCTCGGCATCCTAAGGAGATTCGCTCCCAAAAAAAGAAAAGAAAAAGAGTAGGAATTAGGAACTTGGGTCTCGAATTCTAGTTCTGAAGTTACTGTGTTCATCAGCATTTAACTCTTCATGCCAAGCACCTGCGCTAGGTGCAGTCTGACCTTGGGTAAAGCTTCACACGTTAACGGGATGCCAGACCCTGCAAGGAAATTTCTTGGGAGTCCCAGTAGGTGACTCAAGGAGAAAAGAATGACAATACCGACTGCACTCAAAGGCCTTCCTCCAAGCAATTCAATCTGAGTTTCCCAGAGGACTCGCCGCAGCGAAGAAAGCGACAGCAAACATGGCCCCTGGCCCCGCCCCTCGGCCGCCATCGCGGTAGTTCCCCGGCCGGGCGGGCGCAGCGCGCCTGCGCAGCCCTGTGAGTCTTCAGCGCGCCTGCTCGGCCGCAGGAGCTCCCCTACCCGTCTCGCGGCTGCTGTACTGCACTGACGGCCGTCGCCCGCGCTTCAGGTGAGTGAGCGCTTCAGCTCCCGGGTGCGCGGCGTCGCATGCGGGGGCGTCGCTCCTCCCTGCCATTCCTTGTGGTCTTCTGCGCTCTGCGGGTCTCGGGGGTCACACTGCCAGTCTCCTCTGGGCCTCCAACGCCCTCCGCCCTGCCCGGTTGTCTGAGGTCCTCTGGGCTCCAGCCAGCCGGAGACAGCGCGCTGGAGCCAAGGGGTCGAGCCTCCCTCCGGTAGCGGACGCGCTCTGTAGGAGGGATCCCCTACAGGCATCACGCCTTTTCTTCCTCCTGCTCTGCAGGTGGCGGAGCTGCGCGGTCCTCGGGCTGGGCATCCATCTATGCCCAAGGGCTCGGAAGAGGGGCCCGCGCCCGCTTTCCACTGGTGTGGCCCCGCAGCAGTGGAGCGAGCGCACTTTTTTGGGGCCCCACGACCACCCTGCGGGGAGAGAGGCCATTTAGCCCCAATTTGTAGCTGAGGAAACTGAGGCATGCAGAGGTGAAGTGCCTTGTCCAAGGTCACAGAACTGACAAGTGGCATGGTTGTCTGTGGAACTCGGCGCAGGGGGTGGGGGACTTGGGTTCTCTCGACCAGTGCTGTTGGTATTTGATTTTGTTCCATTGCAAATTTTTGGAAATACACTAGTCATCTCTGGAGTTGTTCTTAAACGTCATAAAAGTGGACTGCAGAGTCCAGGGATTTAGCTCAGCGGCATAAACGCCTGCCTTGCAAGACCGAGGTCGTGAATCCGAGTAGAGTTGAGATGTTAACTATTTGTTATTAGTTATTAGTAATGATATTAATAAGAGCTGACGTTCCTCCCTCGCTTTTTGTGTCAGCAGTCTTGCTAAGCAGTTTAAGATCATCTCATTGGATACTTGAATGTTTACCAATCCCTTTCCTTTGCACGAAGCGTTTCCTGCAGAGCTGGCCTCCCTTCACAGGTAGACTAGGAGCTTCATAGGTTAAAAGGCAGGGGGTTCTGCCATGGCGTCTTATTGGCAGAATAAAGTAAGCCTTGCTTGTCTGCATCCAGATTTCCCCTCAATCCTGGCTTCTCAGCACGTAATTAGACTTCCTCTCCTGTCTGCTAGGAGAATGAGACCCAGAGTAGCTGGGTGACTGGACTTGGAGGTGACAGAGCAGATTTCTCCAGGACTCGCCTCATTTTGGGACTTCCTGGCTCTGCTCCAACGTTGGACTCAAACATTTTAGTATTTAAGATAAAGTAAAAAGAGAAAGCATTGACACAATGGTGCTGAATCTTATGTCTCCCTTGATTTGAAGTCTTATATGAATAGCTGTAAAAGTATGTTTTGCCCCCAAAGTAAGTAATTCATGTTGCATTTTTTTGCACTTCAGAGGCTCCCCTTCTTTGTGATGCTTTCCTTGCTGGATTTTTCCAATTACAATGAAACACATACAACAGGGTAGAGACTTCCTTCCTACCTCTGGGACTGTTAGCCCCTTGAGGTCAGGAACTGGCTTTGCAGCCTCAGATTCTTGGCTCATACTGGACCCTTGCTCAGTGAATTTCCATTCTTTTCATCACTGAAATGGCAGTGTTCTCTTGGTGCCCTTCTGTTCTTCCTCTTGGCCTTTAGTTTCTCTTTGCTGTCCCTTTGTTGTATAACTCTTGATCATCACCTACCACATAAAGTCTTCTAACCACCCTGTTTCCTAAAGTTTGTGAAGAAGGCTTTTATCAGGGATCCTATGTGTCCAGGGGTGGAAACCCCTACAGGGGGGTTTTATTTGTATGTTCCTGTAGGGTGGCCTGAGGGTAACTGCCTTTCAGTCTATCCCAAACGCACATGAGATTCAGTTTTACATTTTTTTGCCTTATGTGGCTCACTCCCTGCTGAAAACCGAGAGTAAATCTGAATGTGACTAGGCGAGGCTTATCCTATTCTGCCCTGATGATGTCAGAGTAGTCTATCAACACCTGGTATTTTAAAAACTTTTTATTTTAAAAAATTTTTGGTTTATTAGTGTGTGTGTATAGTGCATAATGTTTGCATTCCTTGCAGGTAGTTGGCACACGTAAAAAGGAATTCTCAATTCCTTTTTCATCCCCTTTCCCTTCCATCCTTCTTCCTGCCCTGTTCCCTTGATACCTTCCTTTTTGGGTACATGTTTGCAGTACATAATGTTCACATTACTTGTGTGGAGTTGTTACATGTACATAACACATCCTAGTTCCTTTTTAAAAATCCCTCTCCCTTCTCTCCATCTCTCAATCACTTTCCCCTTAAGAATGATCTGTCTGCCTGCTTCCTATTATCTTTTACTTTATGCTTTATTTCTACTCTGGGTTTTTCATTTATGAGAAACGATGTGATACTTAAGCTTATGTGTCTGATTTATTTTACTTAATATAGTCGCAAGGTGCATCCATTTTCCCACAGATGACAATTTATCTTTGTTTATGACAGAGTAGTAATCTTGTATTATAGATACTTGGTGTTTATAGTAAGTATTCACAAAGACCCTTTGGGAAGCAGCAGATAAATGCATAGGTACTCTGCATAAATGAAACTTCTTAAAAGGTTTTTCCAGATAATCTTCTGTAAATATATTGAGCTGTTATGTGCAAGGCATGGTGCTGGGTGAGTTGAGTAAAACATGGTTCCTGTTGAGTTTATTACCTGACTGGGAAACACTATGTAACTGTAATTCAAGTCTAAAAATTGACATATTTGTATTAGAAGCAAAGTAGCATGAATATAATGGGATAAGATAGTACAACATGGGACATTTCATAAAATCAAATTATTCAAGTTGAAAATAAGGACTGAACCATTAAGTCCTACCTTCGCTTTTGAAAACATCATCCTGAGAAGTGAACTTTGTTCAGGTTGTCAAACTTGGGCCATACTCTAGGGGGCTGAGGCAAGAAAATAAAAAGTTCAAACCCAGTCTGAGCAACTTCATGAGAACCTGTCTCAAATTTACAAATTGAAAAAGTGCTAAGAAATGCAATTCACTGTGAAGGTCCTGGCTTAAGTCTCTAGAACCACAAAACAAAACTTTGAGCTACAGCTTAAAATCCCAGACTGTATATCCATTGAAGATTTGCCAGGGCTGTGGGGTGTAGGTTGAGGTATACCAGCCTAGCAACACAAGGCCCTCACTTTGATCCCCAGCACTTACAGTGGGGTGGTAGTGGTAGTGGTGATGGTATCTAGTTCCCAATGAAATTCATTTTGGACATCATTAGCCAACAACTCTTAAAATTCCATTTATGTCCTTAGATTGGGGTGGAAAAAGAAATAATATTTTTATATTTTGTGATTGATGTCTTCAAGCAACTTAATGGTTTGCTGGAGAAGAGTAAAGAATTATTCCCTTAACATTGAAGTTGCTAAGTAACTATTTGTTAAATTGGTAGAGGGACTAGGTGTGTCATGAGAGAGGAAGGTCTAGCGGACATCAGTTTGAACTGTGATAATAAGACCACTTTGGGGAAGAGTAAGGACTATTTTTCTTTCTTTTAACCCCCTACCTCCCCCCACCCGCATTAGGACTTTGTAAGGAGTTTGACAGATTAAAATAATCAATCAAAAAGATGAGGGGACAGGCTGGGGATTTAGCTCAGCCACATAAACATCTTCCTTGCAAGTGTGCGGTTGTGAGTTCAATCCCTAGTACTGATAAAAATGAAAAAGAAAAAAAAAAAAGAAAAAGAAAAAGATCAATAGACAAGGAAAACTATACTTGAGGCTGGGGGTTTAGCTCAGTGGCATAAGCGCCTGCCTTGCAAGCAGGCAGTTGTGAGTTCAATCCCAGGTACCGATAAAAAGGAAAAAGAAAAACTACTTGTTATGTTTAGGGGCAGTTAAAAAAATGGCTTGGCTATATTAAAGCAGTAGTGCTCAGCTTTGAGAATATATCAGTTACCCGGACAGCTTACTAACCCTCCCGTTACTGGGCCCCGCCTCCAGAGTTTCTGATTCAGGAGGCGTGGAGCGGTCCAGAGAATATGCAGTTCTCACAAATTACCAGCTGATGCTGATGCTACTAGTCCAAAGACTACATTTTGAAATTCATTGGATTAGAAGTTTGAAAAACTAGATAGAAACTGAAATGATTCCAAAATCATGTGTGTGTGATAACCTGAAGGAATTTTGGCAAATACACACCAGACAATAATAGTCACTTCTGAAAATGGGACTTAGGGTATGGAGCAGTGTTTGTTGTTATTGTTTTAGTTTTTAGGAGACAGGATCTTGCTCTGTAGTTTAGGCTGGTCCTGAACTCACTATGCAGGGTTTGGCAAATGACAAAACCTCTGCAAGCCTTAGATTCTTCACCTGTAAAATGGGGAAATTACAGTACCTAGTATAAGTGTGTTGTGAAATAAGGAATGGATAAACTGCTTATCATTGAACCTGGCATGGTGTGACTACTCAGTAAATTTGGATAGAAAGATTATTAAGTACTTCAGGGCTTTTGTTTGGCTGGCCTCAAACTCGTGGAGGTCCTTCTGCCTCAGCTCTTGAGCACTGGGTTTACATGTTTGCACCACCAAACCTGGCATGGGGAATTCATTTTTTACTTTATACCTTTCTGTATTATTTTTTGTACTGTACACATACTGCTTTTGTATTTTAGAAAAGATGCATGCTAAAATACTATAAATTTAAAAGAATTTGTTAATCTAGTCATACACCAAACATTGTATCTGTATTGTGGCACATGCTGGTAGCTTCTGGAAATACAAAGCCTTTGCTAAAGCGTGTAGTCTGATGATCAAGATTACTAGATAACAGCTCTAGTTAGTATTGGGTGAGCTCCCTATGAGCAAGGACCAGGTCTAGCTCTCTGCTTGGCTGGTAATATGTACTTGGTAAACGATGAATAAATGAACAATTCAGGCAAGAACTGAGGACAGTGGTAAGGAAATGGACAAACGGGAGATGGTGGTGGCAGAGGGGGCAGGTTGACAAGCTTGGATAGGCAGGAAGAAAGGAATGGATGCATCCAGAAGGACTCACAGATCTAAAAATT